CAATAATTTCCGGGCTTGAACCTTTGGAACCTAGTAGCTGGCATTCAGATAACATGCTGTGAGCTTGAAAGTCTTGAGAGTCTATAAAGGTCCCAGGTTTTGTTTCTATTTCTATAGAGAGAGAGAGAGGTCTGTAGTTTCCTTTTGAGAGTCTCAACCGCATTGCAAACCAGTTCCTCCAAAACCAGAAAGGAAGAATCGCAATGATTTTTACTGTTTACAGGATAATTTTCAGCAAAATCCTTGGAATTAGAACAACTGGAGGAAAACGGTAGGGCAGATGATAATCCCAGAGAACTGCTAGGGCATCCACAAAGTTCAGATTGACTGGCTGATTGAGATAAATATTAAGGTTTTTCTGTTCACTCAAGGCCATCAGGCCAATTTCTAGAGTTCCAAATTTTCCTGAAATGTGTGATGGGAAAGAAACCAGTCTCCTTACTTCAAATGCTTTTTTGCTCAGAGCATTTGCCAACATATTGGTTTCTCCTTTTACATGAACCCCAAATAGGGAGAACAGGTGGTTTTCTGACCAGATCATCACACTGGAGCACAACTTTACCAATGAAGGAGAACAAGTCCTTCCTTTTCTGTTATGATGTGCAACTGCGGTAGCATTGTCATATTTCATCTGAACATTTTATCCCTGTAGGTGTTTCTTGAAACTCAGAAGAGCCAACCAGGTTGTTTTAAATTCTTGATAATTTGATAAGTTTATGCACATAGATAGGCATCCTTGAGGTTTAGTGGGCTAAACCAAGCCCCTTCTTAAACAACGTGTGTTCCTGATCGCGTGTTTTTTCCTGGTGATGACTCAATTGACTTCTTTTAGGTCTAGGGTGGGCCTGAATGATCCGTCTGGCATTTGAACTACAAATAGCCTATAGAATTTTTCTTTAAAAGATTCTGCACTTCTGCATACAGAGCTGAAGCAGTTTTGGATGATTGGACTGAAGAGCAGAGAATTCTTCTTGGAGGAAGGTCGTTGAGCTCTGATCTGTATCCTCTTCTTATAATAGAAAGATCCCAGTTGTCTGTGGTGGTTTTCTCTTACTGAGAAGTGAAGTCAAGAACTCGTCCTCCTATTGCCCTGGCCGCAAAACCTGCAATCTTTAGTTTTATTTACAGTAAATTCTCTTTTTTCTTTATTTCTATAATCAAATAGTTGTCTCTGAATACTTCTTGCTGTAGACCTCCAAAAGGAATTGTTTCTATAAAAAAAACTTGTTTCTATAGAACGGTTTATTCCATTTTTCCTTTTTGCCGGTTTACCTTATGCCCAAAGACTCTACCCTGTTCAAAGGAAAGATTAGAAAGGGAATTTTTTTATGCAAAGTCTGTCGACAAATTTCTGAGCTAAACTACTTGTCTTTTTACAGTGGAGAGGCCCATTGATCTGGCAGATAGTTTAAGCATCTCTAAAGCTGAATTGGAAAGACAATTTGAAGCTATTCTGATGTCGTGAAGAAGTTTCACTGGATATTCCTTGGAGTCTCCCACAAATGTTTTCAAGGGAATCTAGCCAGATATGTTGGACCTTAGCTACCTGCAAAAAAAGCTTTATTTTGAGCTGCATTAGTAGAAAAAACAACAACTTTTAAGTGTGCTCTAATCAAGAGATACAGGATCGTTTGCTTTACAGATATCCCAATTTAGATTTATTTTTTTTAGAACAAAGCTGCTACTACACTAAATGTGTAATTCCCCCCAAAACACATGTAACAAATACACAAAATAGTAGAGCGCTTTGTTCAATGCCAAAACATTTCATGTGCATATATATACTGAGAAACACTTAATTTAATTTGCTTTTGAGTAACTTCAGTTCTGTGCGTGTTCCTTTAACCCCTTAAGGACACATGACATGTGTGACATGTCATGATTCCTTTTTATTCCAGAAGTTTGGTCCTTAAGGGGTTAAACAAAGAGATAAAGTGCAATAGCGTAAAAACATTGAAACAATGTGAGGGTATATGGAATTGCCAATTGAACACTCACAATTTCCAGAGCTATATGACCTAGCTCAGGTATATATCTCTTGGTCATCCAATTCTCAGTGGGTGGAGTACTAGAATCTTCTACATATCCTGAGACGGGCATTGTACCGCCCATGTGCTAAACAACAGAGCTCTTAGCAGCTCAAGAAAATGTGAGTTAGCATTTTCTTGGGCTACAAATTGTTTAAATATTTACCTGACATACTGTACTATCACCTGTTCCTATTTTATTTTTTTGAGGTCATCATAAAATCATACATCAGTGGACCTCATATAGTGTATGTATTTGCATGAATTTGTTGAATATACCTTTTGGCGTGGTTTCCCTATCTCTTTCTTCCTCAATGAAATACATCCTATTCTTACCTCTTGTGCTACTCTACTCCACTCCCTCTAGTATTCAAGCTTATTTGAGCAGAGCCATCAACATCTTCTGTTCCTGTGCATTTAACTCGTCCATCTACTGTACAGCACTACAGAATATGTTGGTGCATTATTTAAAAAAATTAATAACTGGGTGTATACTTACTATCCATAGCCGTCCCAATTGCCTGTAAGAAGTATCTAGGTTTTTACCAAAAATAGTTATTTTCGGAGGTCCATTTCAAGCAACTCATTAGAAAAAATCAATTTGTATTTTCTTAAGGCCTGACATTTTGTAATATGACTAACCCGGAGACTCCAGATAAGCCAATTGAGAAAGTAAAATGCATAGCAAAATCTTGCAATCAGCCTATGCCAGACAAAAATAATTTGTAGTATCTGCTCCAGAAAAGTATCCAAGGAAGCTATAAAACAGGATGTATTTGTTTTCCCTTTCTTATAAAAGGCAGTGTTTACAATAAAATGCTTGCAGGGACTGACTATACTCCCCAGAAAAAAAAAAAAAAAATACATTAAAGGACCACTCTAGGCACCCAGACCACTTCAGCTTAATGAAGTGGTCTGGGTGCCAGGTCCAGCTAGGGTTAACCCATTTTTTAAATAAACATAGCAGTTTCAGAGAAACTGCTATGTTTATTAATGGGTTAAGCCTTCCTCCAAAGCCTCTAGTGGCTGTCTCATTGACAGCCACTAGAGGCGCTTGCGTGCTTCTCACTGTGATTTTCAGTGAGAGCACGCCAGCGTCCATAGGAAAGCATTGTAAATGCTTTCCTATGTGACCGGCTGAATGCGCGCGCAGCTCTTGCCGCGCGTGCGCATTCAGCCCAGGAGGAGGATCGGAGGAGAGAAGGAGGAGAGCTCCCCGCCCAGCGCTGGAAAAAGGTAAGTTTAACCCCTTTTCCCCTTTCCAGAGCCGGGCGGGAGGAGGACCCTGAGGGTGGGGGCACCCTCAGGGCACTATAGTGCCAGGAAAACGAGTATGTTTTCCTGGCACTATAGTGGTCCTTTAAGCTGTTGTTGCGCTGATGACTATAGTGCCCCTCTAAGGCCAATAGGTCAAGAAGAAATTAGGTGGGGTTTTTAGGCTTAACATTATTACTAAGGGTCTTAATGCAGATTTTGATTTATACAATTTTTTTTGTTTTATAAATAATTTTTGGTAATTTCTCCCTCACCTCCTGTCTTCTTGTATGCCTACACCTTTAACAATATGCACAGATGTGTCTGGTTTCTTTGGTTTTATATCACTATCATTATGATTTCCATATTGTAATCAATTTTTACATAATTCTATTTATTTTTCTTTTAATATCGATTAAAAAGATATACTTCTATTATATTTATATTTAGTATATAGAATATTTATACCAAGAGTCAGTAGCGTACCTGCCACGGTCGCAGCTGCGACAGTGTATTGACATCACTTCAGGGCCAGTGCACGGCCGCAGTGGCCCGGGCTGCTGGTCGCAGGGTAACCAGCTGGAGGGGAGCTAACTTCTTCTGACGGTCATAAGCACAGCTGAGCAGACTACGGGTAGAGGTGCCTCCGTTTCCCTCTACCAGGTCTGACAGAAGTTGCTCACGGAGAGCACTTCCTGAGAGATAAGTTACTGCAGTGAGCCAGGCCATGCTACGTGGACAGCAAAGAGTAGATAAGAAGGGGATGGGGGGGGTCAGGTATGTAAAACATGGAAGGGGCTGGGGTGAAATTGAGACACATGGAAAGGACTGGGGGAGAATGACATATGGATGGCAGGGGTAAAATAATGAGACACGTGGAAGGACTGGGTGAGGATAAGACACATGGGAGAACTCAGGGTAGTTTTCTGCACATGGGCCCAGTGGTTTCTAGTTACACCTCTGCTGACAGTGCTTTTTAAATATGCCCAGCTTTAAGACTTACTAGTTATCATTCTTTGAATATTTGTTTATCTTTTTGTACAGTTTTGTATTTTGTTTCTATTAATTGTATGCTGACATATGTGATACAGGATTCACCATCTTTTCTACATTTACAGTCACTAAATATTAAACTTATAATTTCTTAAACTGTTTAAGCACTGGCTAGAATCAGATTAATATATCTGAAAACTTAATTTTATCCATCCTTTTCCCCCCCCATGTTTTGGATAGACTAATACTTACCTGTATATACATATACTTATTTTATCAGCACAATAGGTTGCTCAGTTATGTGTAGCCGACGTTCACAAAAATGTTCATTGCCTGAAAGGTATTTAAAGTGAGAGCAGTACATAATCACTGAGTTGAATACCACTGCGTTTGAGTTCTTTGTTTTCCCCCCTTTCTTCCAACTATTTGGATGCTTTTGTTTTTAGAGGTGCAGTCCAATAATAGTACATTGAAAGGGGAGTTAAAAAAAAAAAAAATAACACACAAAACACCCACACTTGAATATATGTATTTTCTATTGATTTAACTGCTTGCGCGCCACTATTAGATTTCAAACTTGAAATCAAATTTAAAGAATCTTTTTTTTTTATTCTCCAAATCCACAATAGTTTCAGTTTTGCCATTGATACACAGGTGCAGGATGAAATTTAAGCAATAATGTGCTATATCACAAGTGTGATACATTTGCTTTAACCCCTTAAGGACCAAACTTCTGGAATATAAAGGAATCATGACTTGTCACACGTCATGTGTCCTTAAGGGGTTAAAGAAGCAAAATGGATATCCAATCCAGAATAGTGTGTACTATGTGTATTTTGAGGGCATAGTAAAAAGAAAAAAAAAAAATATTTTTTTAAATGAAAAAAAAAAAAAAAAACATTTCAAAGTTGTTTTTTTAATCTGTAAACTTGTCCACATAAAAGATCATTCAACAGGTTCACCAACACCATAAGGCCATCTATATCTATTTTGAAATTCAAGAGGACTAAAAAGACTCAATTTCACGCTCATGCTATGAACTATGTAAGACAGCAGTAAACGAATGCATGTTTTACAAATGCAATAAGACAAGACAACATAAATCTTTATACACATATTAAAAAAATAAAACTGACTTTTTCTAGCGCATAAACTGCAAGCATTAATGTGAGGAATGTAATACTTTACAGTCAATATATATATTTTTTCTTCCTCTGCTTTCCCAACTGTGTCTTGGTTTAATTTATAAAAAAAAAAAAAAAAAAATTATGGAATTTATGTTGCATCTAGAAGTTCATTTCATAAAAAAATGAAGAAAATTGAGAGCTGTTGGCATGTTCAGTAAATAGCACGTGGGTTCTTGGTGCTGTAATATGCCTCACAGGCAGCTACATAAGCAGATTCTGGAAAGAAATCTTCGTGATATTCTGCAAGGAATCTGCAAGAAAGATGCATAACATTTAATCAATTCTGCTACAAAATAAAATGAAATAGTAACAGAATAAACTGCACCAAATAAGCAACTAAAAAAAGATTAAGCATCTACAAGACAGACATTTAGCATTGATAACCGACAGATGGAAAGGTTGAAGATATTCCATTATTTTAATGCATTGTGTGTGTGTATATATATATATATATATATATATATATATATATATATATATATATATATATGAGACTAGATGTGCAGTAAGAAGATTTCTCTGGTTGTTGCCATAGTAATTATAGTTTGCTTAGTGCTTGGATGTACAGAACAGACTGGGTGACGTAACGGGATGGCGTAATCGGGGTCAAACAATCACTCATTCTGGCTCCGACCAAGTTTGTCACATACTGTATCACTTCACTTATTGGGTAAGTGTATATTGGTGGTGGGTATATAAGATTGTCTTTTAAGATGTTATTTTATCCTTATGAAAGTTTGGGTGACAAACTGAAATGATCTCTTAATTGAAGAAAATAAAAGTTAAGTTTTATTTTTAAATATCTTTGGAGTCCTATCTCTATGCTACATGGTTACATATACACACATATATATATATATATATATATATATATATATATATATATATATATATATATATATATATATACACATACACATACACACACACACACACACACAAAATAGAGAAATGACGGCACTCCTGGATTTAAGAACAATAATATTTATGGTCAGAAGTCAACGTTTCAGTTCCTAGCTTGGATCTTTCATTAGGACACGTGTCCTGATGAAAGATCCAAGCTAGGAACTGAAACGTTGACTTCTGACCATAAATATTATTGTTCTTAAATTCAGGAGTTCCGGCATTTCTCTATTTTCTACATAAAAGCATGGCTTGGCACCCGGTATCATTTTGGCTGGAGGTAGGAGTACAAAAGTTTGGAATACATACATACATACAATACACAATCCAGCGCACTCACTCATTAACTAAACAGCGATTTAAGATGTCAAAGATTGCAATAGTTTTTTTGTTTTGTGTTTTTAAACACCTTGGCAAAAAATAATGAGGGTTTCGTTACATTACATGATCATATATTGCATAAGCCTGCCACAACATCAATGTACCCCATTCTTGGCAGGTCCTATTCTAGCAGCCTAATGCTTGCTCTTATGATATTAATCCACTTACTTGGGAAATTCTTCCTTACTGGCACTCTGCAGGTCAAAGCTAAATAGGGAAGCACCTGTGACTGGGAGGGGTGCAAAACCAAGGAGTTGGCCTGGACTCCCAAATATACAAATAAATAAAACCAGATGGCTAGGACTGCACTCACCAGAACATGCATATATTATAGGGTGCTGCTGGGGCCAATATATACAACATACAAAATACACGCACTTGCACATTCACTAATCTGATATCGCTGTTTAGTGAATGAGCAAGTGCGCTGGATTGTGTGTGTGTGTGTGTATATATACACACACACACACACACATATATATACACACACACACAGAAATAGAGATGGATCAGCAGCACTCTTGGGATTCTTTGAAAAAGCTTACTCACAGACAGTTTCACCAACAATCAACATTTCAGTTCCAATAAGGAACTTGCATCAGGACAAACAAAATTGCATTAACACAAGTATCGTATATTTATAGGACCCCAAATAGTGACTCAACCTTCACCTGTGCAGAGAGTTGGCGTTCACTAGTACAGAGAGTGCATGTGTAAAGTATAGGAGACAGCTGTACCAATCATGTCTCCATATTACGGACTGTTTACGTTGCCTGGACAACCAGGACGTCAGGTATCTCCATACGCCATGTGGAGCTACTGCATAGAATGTATCTATTAGCACAGCTTCTAAAAGATGCTCTGCGTAACTTGGGTGAATAGAAAGCTGTCTCAGTCTTGCCTAGGTGTGGGTGGTTGACGTTTTTGCAGGGTATCAAATGTCCACATGTGACGCAACCCAAACATCTCACACACCCTAAATTTGCTGTATTTTTGTTGACCGGCATGTAACTTGAAATTGGATCTGTATGGACCAACTGATCTCGCAGGATTTATTTATTTTATAGCAGATCATAAGTCTATTATGTAGTATCTCGGTAAGGGATACATCCCTCTCCAAAATATTCCATTTTTTTTTTTTTTTTTTTTTTATAATCAATTCTGTGCTTTCAGGGTTATAAAAACCATTGAGAACTTAATTCTTGATGAAGACTCTTGAAACAGTATTCAACGTGATCAGGATCTTTTCCCTGGCTTTAAGTAGAGATTTCTCCAGGATTCTTCGTGTATAACCTCTCCTCAAAAATTTGCCACACATTTCTTGTATTTGTATTTCATTTTTAGATTCTTTGGAGTTGTTCTTGAGGACTCTTAAAAATTGAGAGCGAGGCAGTGAGTCCTTTGTTTTGGATGTGCATGCTCATAGTGTAACAGAGCGTTACTATCCGTAGGTTTAGAATAGAGTTGGTATTCTTCCAGTTTTCAAGTAATATCTCCAGATCTAAGTATTGTATCACCTGTGTGTTGATGTGAGAAGAAACCTTAATAGGTGTTGATAATCCATTTATATGGTCCACAAAGTGCTGTGCCTCTTCCTCATTGCCGTTCCAGAAAATTTGGATATTATCTACCGTATATCTGAAGTAATTTACTATCCGTTTAGAGAAGTTATGTAAAATATGATTTTTCTCAAAGTGGTACATCGGGGCCATCGCAGCACCCTCCTTCTGTAGATAGCATCTGGTTTTGAAAACGAAAATAGTTGTGGTTTAATGCCAAAGAGAGTAGTTCTAATATGAATTTCACAGTACATAAAAAGGTATTTATAGTAGGTTGGCTGATTGCTGGATCAAATTTGCTGGGAGTTTGGAATTTGGTGGATATGGTGTCTGTAGTTATGGAATGGGATTTCTTGAAAAAGTCATTTAACCTAAAGCTCCTACCAAATTTAAAAAGTTCAAACATCCCAATGGAACTTATTAGGTGACCCAGTTGGAATAAAAGTGAGGCCTTTACTTAGAATATTCACTTCATGTGTCAATTTCCTATCAGATAAATTGAATACTGGTACTACTTCTGAAGAGGAGGTCTCCCTCTGGGATCAGTGAAGGTGTCCCTTCTGTCCGCGTCTTGTGACATGTCTCTTTCACTCCTCACGTGGCTTCTTGTTATTTTCTTAGGAGGGGAGGATACTTCGGTCTGGTCGCTGAGGCCTAAAAAAAAATTAAAAAAAAATTTAAAAATCTCCTGAAGTGATGTCTATAGTGGGGACATTGGGTTTGACCATCTTCTTACTCCTTGATCGTGGTCTTTGGTCTCCAGAAAGCCATCTATATACCTGGTTGTCTTTATAATCCAATTGTACCCTCTCCGTCTTTTGTCGTTTGAATTTGACTAGTTGGTTTTTATACTGGAGTACCTCCTCATTCAGTTTAACCTGTTGGTTGATGCCCTCTTGTGAATTAAGCAAAACAGCATGTTCACTTACTATTTGCTGTATTTTCATGTGTACCTCTTGTAGATCTTCCTTGATATCCCATATTACCAGCATTAAATACATTGAGCATTTATTAAGTACTGAAGTCCAGTCTTTACGTACTCTAGGCTTCATTCAGTCCTATTGTGGATATATTATGCACTCTAAAGCCCCTTGGTATTTGTTTAGCTCTGTGGTAATCTGATAAAAATAAGCCGTGGAGGTCCAGATCCACTTCTCTCTTTCTTAGCTTAAGGATTTTAAAATATACATCACAAACTGTAGTTGTCGTTGGGAGTTCCAAACTCGGGGTATCCCATAATATATTTTCTGCTTGCTCATCAGTAAGTTGCAGTATTTCAAGACATTAGCACAGAGTGCTGTTACTAACGTAGCATGTATGTAATCATCCATTTAAGCTTATATTTGGACCCCAACCCAAGAGGATGATATTCCAACTATTGGTAACACCAAAAATGTTTTTTTTTTTTTTTGTTTGTTTTTTTAATGAGGTTGAAAAAAAAAAAATGTAATTATTATTATTATTATTAATATTATTTATATAGCGCCAAAAAATTCCGTAGCGCTGTACAATGGGTGGACTAACAGACACATAATTGAGATCAGACCACTGACGTGCAGGAACAGAGGGGGTTGAGGGCCCTGCTCCATGAGCTTACATGCTAGAGGGAGTGGGGTATAGTGACACAAAGGGTTAAAGTAGGGGAATTAAATAGTTTGTTACAGAAGGGTTTATTGAGTGCTTGGTAGGTCATTTTTGACAGTTGCAGGAATGGAGTCATGGGGTGGGGGATGAGAAACCTGCTGACAGTTTAATTGATACGCTTTAATGAAGAAGTGAGTTTTCAAAGATTTTTTGAAGGAATGGAGGCTGGGTGAAAGTCTTATTGAGGAGGGAAGGGAGTTCCACAGAATAGGTGCAGCCCTGGAGAAGTCTTGAAGGCGAGCATCAGAGGTGGGGATCCGGGCAGAGGATAGGCGTAGGTCTTGGGCTGAGCGCAGGGGTCTCGACGGGACATACTTGTGTATGAGGGAGGATAGGTATGTTGGAGCAGCATTATGTAGGGATTTGTAAGCAAGCGCCAGAATTTTGAATTGGGCCCTATATCTAACTGGAAGCCAATGCAGGGACTGACAGAGCGTGGAGGCGTGGGAGGTGCGACCGGACAGGAAAATAAGCCTCGCAGCCGTATTCATTATAGATTGCTGCAGTGCAAGCTGGGAACATGTAAGACCGGTGAGAAGGGGATTGCAATAGTCAAGGCGAGAGAGAACAACAGCATGAACCAGTACCTTAGCCGCGTCCGGCGTTAGATATGGGCGGATGCGCGCTATGTTCTTGAGTTGGAAGCGACAGGATTTGGCTATCGATTGAACATGGGGAGTAAAAGAGAGATCAGAATCAAAAAGAACTCCTAGGCAGCGAGCCTGGGAGGTAGAGGTGATAGTAGCGCCGTTGACTTGGATGGCGACAGACACAGGAGTAGCAGCACTTGAGGGAGGAAAAACTAGAAGTTCTGTTTTGGACAGGTTGAGTTTAAGGAAGTGAGCAGCCATCCAGTTGGAAATAGCATAGAGGCAGTCAGAAACACGAGTCAAGGTGGGCGGAGAGAGATCAGGGGAGGACAGGTAGATTTGCGTGTCATCTGCATATAAATGGTATTGGACGCCAAAAGAGCTGATGAGTTTACCAAGGGAGGCAGTATAGATAGATTACAGTAGAGGGCCGAGGACAGAACCTTGGGGGACACCGACAGGGAGGGGTTGGGGAGAAGAGGCAGAGCCAGAGAAAGAAACACTGAAGGAGCGCTGGGAGAGGTAGGAGCAGCACCAGGAGAGAGCAGAATCCCGTAGACCAAAGTTACGGAGAATGTGAAGAAGCTGTTGATGATCAACAGTGTCAAAGGCGGCAGAAAGATCAAGGAGGATTAGGATAGAGTACTGGCCGCGAGATTTAGCAGCAATTAAATCGTTGGATACTTTGGTCACAGTAGTTTCGACAGAGTGACCAGCGCGGAATCCAGACTGAAGGGGGTCAAGCAGAGAGCTGGATTCAAGAAAGTCTGTCAGTCTGGCGTAGACAACTCTCTCGAGGATCTTGGAGGCAAATGGCAGTAGTGAGATAGGGCGGTAATTAAAACTTAACTTTGATTACAGGTCCTTTAAGAAAAGTGCTTCCGTGCCTTAAAAGAAAGTGCCACCGTGACTTTAAAATGCTTCAGTTCTCCAATAGGAGGGGTTTATAAAAATATATACTGCACAAAACTTGTGTCAAAAATATTTTCCTTTTTAGACTTTGCAGGATATACTCCTATTCGTGGGTGCATAGCTTGGAGGCTGTGCAACTTCCAATATCTATATATATATTTATTATTTATAAAAATATTTTACCAGGAAGGATACATTGAGATTTCTCTAGTTTTAAACTATGTCCTGGGTCCACAAAACATTGCATTCTTTCAATAGGGTACAAAAACAATATTAATACACAATATATACAAAATTTAACATAGAACGGGTAGGAAATTTATAATCAACCATGACAGGTGCATTCTGTTTTGAGATATGTAGAGAGAGATCTCTTATAGGATTTTAGGCCTAGGGAAGATTTGAAAGTGTGCGGGAGGTCGTTCCATAATTGCGGTGCTCTGTAGGAAAAGGAGGATCGAGCTGCTTTCTCTTTGTATTGAGGTAGACTAAATAAAGTGCTGGTACTGGATCGGAAGTTATAGGAGGTGGGAACAGCCGGGAAGAGCATTCTGCTCAGGTAGGGTGGGTCGGGATTCCAGCGGCAGCCAGTTTAGTTCTTTTAGAATTTCACAATGTTGGGTCATGTAACTACATTGTAGCACAAAGCGGTAGAACGATTTATACTATGTATTAAGTTTATTAAGGTGGGTTTGCGGTGCAGGTGCATACACTACATCCCCATAATCAATGATTGGCATCAGCATTTGCTGTACAATCCTTTCCTTTACTGTAGGGCATATGCAGGATTTGTGTCTGTACAGGGAACCTAGTTTTTGATAAAGTTTAGATGCAAGTTTTTCTATGTGGAGGCCAAAAGATAGATTGGGGTCCAACATACTCAAGTATTTGAAAAAATGGACTGCTGTCATTGTGGCATTTGATTTTGTTTTGATGCATAGATGTGAATTTTGTCATTTGTGTACTTTAGGTACTGTTACAAAGATCATTGTGACAGTTTTGTCAGTGTTTAGAGTTTGTTTTTGCAATCCACTTTTCTACCTCTGTGAACTGGTCTTGTAGCACAGCCTCAAGCTGCAGTTTGATCGGATTTGCTTGCATAGATTACTGTGTTGTCTACGTACATGTGTACATTTGAGGATTTGCAGACATTAGGCAGATCATTTATAAATAATGTGAATAGTAGGGGGAAGAGAATGGAACCTGTCAGAAATGGACACATATTGCAAGCAATCGGATACATATGATTGAAACCAGGTTAGCGGACGTTCACCAATTCCAGAGTTTTTTTAGTTTGTGCAGTAGAATGTCGTGGTCTACTGTCTCAAGGGCCTTTTAAAAAAAAAAAAAAAATCAAGGAAAATAGCTCCAGTTAGGTCTCCTTGTTCCATGCCAGTTTGGATGTCATTGCAAACTTTTAAGAGGGCAGTCAAAGTTGAGTGATTTGGACGAAAGCATGATTGACCAGGGATCAAATAATATTCACACAGTTGCGTGTGGACACATTTTTCTGACATTTTTGACAATACTGGGAGCAATGATATTGGCCGGCAGTTAGATAAAGTATTGTCACCACTTTTATGCATAGGTACTACTTTTGCAGTCTTCCAAAATTTGGGTATGCATCCTGACACCAGGGATTCGTTAATAAGGGTAGTGGCAGGTTTAGCAATTCCTGGCACACTGAGCTTCAGCAACATTGCTGGGATTTGATCTGGTCCACACTGGTTTTTCATTTTTAAATTATTAAGATGTTTAACGACACTAAATAGGTACAGGTCTATAATTTCACTTCTCTATATTGGGCCTTTGCAAATTTAGTGGGGCCTGATCCCCATTTGTGGTTTCAGGATGTGTGTCATTTATTAGCTTGGCAATCAGGGTGGTGGAGCATCCGACAAAATAATTGTTAAAGGCATTTGCTACATCTAAGGGAAGTTGCAGGATTTGGTTGTCCACTTTGACAGTGGAGTGTTGGGAGAGTTTGTAAGCTTTTTATGACTTTCTAAAAGTTTCTGGGTTTGATTTGTTATTGTTCAGATTTTCACAGAAATATTGGTTTTGTGCATATATTTCGCCATGGTCTACATGCACAGTGATCATTCATAGAGCCAATATGCTTGAACTTTGACCACAATGAACACCGAAATTGGTACATTTGAATGAGGTCAGCTCCATATCCAGTAAGTGGATTAATCTCATAAGAGCAAGCATTAGGCTGCTAGGATAGGACGTGCCAAGAATGGGATACATTGACGTTGTGGAAGGCTTATGCAATATATGATCATATAATGTAACTAAACCCCCATAATTTTTTGCCTAGGTGAGGTGTTTTTAAATAAAACTATTGCAGTCTTTGACATCTGAAATCGCTGTTTAGTGAATGAGCGACTGCGCTGGATTGTGTAATATATATACACACACACACACACAATCCCCCATTAAAAAAAAAAAAAAAAATTGTGACCTTTGAAAATATCAGGAGGTAACTCTCCCAAAAAGCCTTGTCCTACATAGATTTATGGGCAAAGCAAGAGCTTCTAAAGGGTTTAAGTTCAAATGTCAAGCTCATCAGTAATTACATCACTAAAACAAAACTATATACAGAAATAGTGGAAAAGATGGACTTACTGAGCAAACAATTTTATAAAATATATAAACTATATAGCAAACTATAGCGATTAAAATGATACCACTTCCAGAACTCCAACATAAAGCAGAAATTGGGTTTATTATTTGAAAACTATTCACTTGTAATATATCTAAGTCTACAGTTCTCAAGGTTATATTCATTTTACCTTAGGAACAGCTCAAAGTGTTTCAACAAAGCTTTCAGGTTCTTCTCTGCAAAAGACATCCTTCCCATTATTTCTGGAAGTTTAACTATAAAGAAAAAAAAAAAAAAATTACTGTAAATTTACTCACACAAGACAATAACTGAACTAAAATATACTATGGAATAGGTCTGCTCTCTGTTTTATCATTACAATATAGGTCCCTGTCTGTACAGTATCATGACAACCACTTGTAGGATTACTCCAGGCACCATCACCACTTCCGTGATTTAAAGTGGTCATGGTGTCTGAAACATGTATGAATAGCGTTCGGCTTTAAAAAGCTGCAGATACATAGATTAACTGCTCTGCTGCCGGAGGTGCAACTCCACTTTCAACCATGTCACGGGTGGGTCAGCCAACCCGGAACAATAGTTCCAGGATAGCCAATGTCAAGTTTAGATGCTGAAACAAATTCATTCATTGGTAGAGAGCAGTCATTTACCCTCTCAACCAATAAATCAGCAGCACCAACACCCAGCTTCTAAAGCTAACGAGAAGCCGGATGTTGTAAACACTGCTTCACAGGAGACCAGATGCCGATTAGTACCAGGTAAGTAGACAAACCACTTAAAAAAAATAAAAAATTTTTAAAAAAAACCACCACACATTTGCCAACTAACTAGGAATAATGCCTAGATACTCCTACCATCAGAACTACCATAGTGGGCTGTAGTGATTATGATGGTTAAAGTAATCTTTTAAAAGCCAGCCCCCCCATCTTTATGTAACTATAATATTAATCAAAATTTAACATAATGTGAATGAATATTAAAATTGTAATGCATAATTTTAATTTTAGAAACACAAAAAAGGTTACTCGAACATCTTTTTAGAATAAGTCAAATAGTTTTTTTTCTCCATTTTAGGTATCAGTGATACTGGATAGGTTGATATCAGGTTATAAAAAAAAACAAAAAAACAACACACAACACACACACCACATGACACAAGGAGATTTCTGTTGGTTGAATGAGAAGGGCAAACTTTCAAGAGCCGAAGATATAAATGCGCTTGCCAGGTTTGCTTAAATGTACTGAATTGTAATCTTTCACATTATCCTATAGCTCTATATCGATCTTGCAAATTGCATTACAGAAGTGAATCAATATAGTGAAAACATGGCGCTATACTAATAACACGTGATAGAAGCTACACAAACACTCTAAGGTTATTCTCTCACAAGGAACCGGACAAGAAAGTGGAGGGTGTGCTAAATAGTATGAAAACAATATGTATACTTGTCAATAAAGTGAAACCGATATCTCAGCGTCAACTCAAATATACATGAATACATGTGGGAAAAGAGAAAACATCAGTGCAACATGTAAGCCAACAAAACAAGTGTAAAGAAGAAGAAATAAGTTACACTTGTTTTGTTGGCAAACATGTTTCACTATCCCCCTCCCCCCTTCCACATTTACTCACGTACATGAGTTTTACGTGGCACTATCAGTTTGTCAAAAAAAAAGTGCAACCTGTTACCCAACAAAACAAGTAACTTGGGTATACCAATATTCTCTGGTGTGGCCTGATATTTCACTATTCATTATCTCCATGGTGTGTTCAACCCCACAATACTTTTGTGAAAAGTGATAGATGCAGTCCTGCACATGCCCAGTGTATTAATTGAAGCAGCTTATACAGCACAAAAAAAAAATAAAAAAAGTTTTTAAAAAGCAGTTGTCTTACTTCGCAATTATCTGAATTCATACTAGCTTTGTACAAAAAGTTTCACAAAAGTGGAAATTATAAGTAAAAGAAGATGTGCAGTTCCATGAGCCAAAAGTAGTATCAGAGAGAAAGGTCATGTAAAAACCAAATATGAATGCAATACAAAAATGCAATTTAACAAGCACCTAAAGAGCACTTTCATTGAATGTGGATCCCAACAGAACAGGATAAAATATAGGTTTTAAAGAGTGTTTTAGAAATTTGCAAACTAGATTTAACTACATAAAGTTTCCTTGACAGATGGAAATAAATTTTGCAAGAGTAAAGGGAAAAAACAGAAGAAAAAAAAACAAAAACAAAAAAACCCACAAACATAAGAACTCAGACACACTAATGTGGGAGATTAATGGACTGGATGTGCTGGTGATGGATTATATTTAAAGTAACGAATAAGACTTTTTAGGGAGAAAGTTTGGAGTCTATGAGCATGCTATAGTATGTTTGGTGAAAGCTGCTGCACATTGATGGGATGTATAAATGTGGCAAGTAAGGATCTGTACACGAGGATGGGTGTTTCTGCTGTTCTGTCCTTTTACTTGCTTGATAATCTGTGATGCATCCTTTCATAAAAAGAAATAGGTTTCTCCCTCTAATGTAAGAACAATGTAGTCTTTGAAACTTGTGTATGTGCAGCAGAGAAAAGCAATGCTAGATGTTCAACTGCTTCAAGTTATACTGCGTCAAATATAGTCTTAAGATTCTAATTTCTAGACTGGTCAAGACCTCACAATTGGAAAATTCCACATTAAGATACAATAAATGTTTACCAATGTGATGAAGCAAACTTACCACGTCTCAAGAGGTTTCTAACTTATTTGTGTCGTTAGAAAGGAATACTGGGGGCGTGGTCTGATCGTCGAGGAGACCAGACGTGCTTCACTAGTGCTCCGTCCCAACGGCGCCATAAGCAGACAAAAGCGACCTTTTTAAGGCAATTTCCCCCTCACTAACCTATACAGGATGGAAAAGAGACTCCCCAAGAAACAAGCGAAGAGGACTGCGGAGTCCAGCGGCTCAGTTCTGGACCTGCTCACAGCCCATCGGCACGGACGGGCCGACAGCCAAGATGGCGACGGAGCATCTCCACAAGCGTCGCCCGGCGCAGACAAGGAGGCCCTATCCGCGGAACAAAGCACTGTTCTCGCAAAATTGGCGGAGGTGAGATCGTTCCTTGCTGGGGAAATAGCCAAGTCAACGGCTGTACTGCAGGCCGACATAAGTGCCCTGGGAGAGCGCACGGCAAAATTGGAAGACCGCATGGAAGCGACAACTCAGGCCCACAATGAGGCAGCCGACCGGATAAATCGCATGACAATGCATATGCTCGACATGGATTTAGCCCTGGAAGATATGGCTAACCGTTCTCGGAGAAACAATCTCCGCATAAGAGGCTTGCCTGAGGGGTTGGATGAAGACCTGCAGGGCCTCTTAACGTCAGTTTTTAGGCCGCTGCTCCCACACATCCCAGAGGAACAGTGGCACATGGAGAGAGCTCACAGGGCGATGAAAACGCAGAGGGCCGAAGCCAACGCCCCGAGGGACGTAATAATAAAATTCCTCTATTTCAAAACAAAAGAGGCCCTGATGAAAAAGAGCCGTGATGGGCCGATCCGGCACGCCGGAGCCACAATATCGTTTTTCCAAGACCTGGCTCCCTCGACGTTACAATGGAGGAGAGACTGGCGGCCCATAACCGGGGCTCTACGAGGAGCAGGCCTGAAATACGCCTGGGGCTTCCCTTTCAAGCTAATGGTGTTCCGCGAGGGGAGAGCTCACGTCCTGTCACCAGGTGGAGACCCGAAGCGCTTACTCCAGGGCTTGGGAATCCAGTCCCCCCCAGACCTACCTGACCTGACGATGGGTCCGGCGGAGATTCCACAACTTCAAACGGAGTGGCGTGAAGTGGGGCCCAGAAGCCAGCGCTAACGAATGGCGGTATCGTATTCATAGAGTCTCGTTATGATTGTTTCTTCAGCCCAATCCTCTATTTTTGGTGATGGGGCCTTGTTTTCATTTTCTGTTGGGTGGGGGACACGGGTGCAGGACCTCGGCAGTACATGGGGAGCTTGGGGTGGGTCACCAGATATGTCTCTTGCCCTGCTTTTGGCCAGTCCCAAGATCCCTATATCGCTCAGTGGTTTTGACAGCGCCCCACTACGCCTGTTATACCAGAAGCACATTATCACATTGTTTGGGTGGGAACGAGGGGGTGGCGGGTCAGTCCCTGGTCTCCCCTTTTTTTCCCCTGTTTTTGTCCCGTGGTTCCCCCTTTTTCTCTTGCCCATCCCCGCCCTTAACAGGGATGCCCGAGGATCTCCTGGCCTCCCGTCGGGGCCATTGGGGCTTTTAAGATCGATGGTCTCCTTTCCTCACAGCCGGTCGGGCAGAGTTGGGGGGGTCCCCGGCTACCCTACGGCACCAGTGTACCGGTCCTCGGAACTGGGTCATAGACTCTCCCCCCCCCTATCTTGTGTGAAGACATCTGAGAAGGACAAATTGAGGGTCTTAGACACCCCAGGACAGGTTCGGTGTATTGATGTATTGTTCTATTGTCCTGCTGGTGCGACCATCGGAACTGTGCAGAGTTAAATGGAGGTTGCGGGAGGGCGTTATTCTCCTTTTTTTGTCTGTCTCTATCCTGCTCAATTTTAAATAGTATCGAAAATTGTTCAAACAGAGGGAGGGGAAAAAAGAGAAAAAAAATAAAAAAATTAAAAAAAAAACAATAAGAGAGGAAGGGGAGGAAGGGAGAGAGGGGGACAAAACGGGGAGGAGGGCACGAGGGAGAGGAGAAAGGTCAAGAGTGGTTCACTACTTTCTAGATACATGTATACGAGTGGCACCAAAATGAGTGCTTGCTATTAGACAACACAATTTTCTTCAAGAGTCTCCCCTACGGGACGGGTCAGACCTGCAATTGCTACACCAATAGCCCTCCCAGAGTAAAGGTGTCGGTAGACTCCCACATTCCCTGTCTTAGCTGGCTACACCCCCCATTATAAACACCCTTAACGTTGGTGACAAGCCCCTCTACATTTCCGTATAATACGGTTCTCCCGGGCACACGGCTAGGGAGATACAGGCTGGGAGTGTACATTTGATGGCCCTTTGGCACAATCAGCTGTTCCCCTGTGCGGCTGCTTGCCCCCTCTGGCAGGTCCGATGACCGTCTCGTGCGAGGCCGGCCATGGGGGGCGACCATACGGACGGGCAGACATTACCTCGGACAATAGGGCGGTTTGGGTGTCCCCGGCAGGGAGTACATGATGTGGTATTGGCACATAATAGAGTTTTACCTGTCTCCCCAATGTACGATTGTGCCATATGGTCCTAGAGGTGGACAATTGTAATGAGATACAGGGGATTTTTATTCACGTGGCAGAGAGAACTCAAAGCGATATACGGACCGTAATGAACGTACCTAGTTTTGATATGCCTGCACCATTATTATTAGCTTGACTGATACATACGATATGGCATCCCTGGATGCATCCCTACGCATAGTTTAGTGCAATCCCCCAATACATAACACCCATGAACAAGCTTTTGAACCTGATGATTGGCTCTTTAAGGGTATGAGGGCGGGATGGGGTTGGGGGGGGCCTGTAGATGGGAGATAGACAGAAGCGGGATTGAGCGGTCTGAGGGAGAGGGGGGGAGGGAGGATGAAAGAGAAAGGGACAGTGGAAATTAAAAAAAAAAAAAAAAAACGCAAAAATAATGAAAAATAACAATGTTATCAAATGACAATATATCAAACAAGGACCAAATGCGTTGTATGTTACATATTGATCGAGCTGAACCTACTAGCCCGTAACACGTTCATTAAAATGTGATCTGTAAATAGTTTCATTAGAATATAGCGTTTCCTTAGTCCCAGTGGTGTAGCAGCGGGGAGGAGGGAAATGAACGAGGGTTGGCGACCCCGATAGCACAGGGCCTTGAGCCCAGACAGTTTGAGTTTTTCACTGGGCCCAGGCAGGGCGGAGTTTTTTCGCGAGGGCTCCACGGACAGCATCAGAACACATGGGGGGTGGGAAAGATACCCCAAATAGACTGGGTGAAGCGGCTTCCTTAGCGGTTAATATAGAGGTCCAAGCGAAACACACGTGGCGCCTATGCGGAGGAGCGCTGGATCCCATCGTTTCCTCCCAACGTTGACCGGGGCTGGAATGAGGGATGATATCCCCCACAAAAATCTGGCGAATGGTAAGACCAGAATTTCTGTTCATCGGACTGAGTCCGGATGTAGTTCTTATTATTCTCTATCTTTGTTACTTTCTACCTTTTCTTCCCTACTCTTTACCTTTATCCTGAGGGGTGGTGGATGCGGGGGGCAAGCAGCGGTCCTCTTTCAGGGACCTATTGGGGTTCAGGTCGTGTCTACGGTCATGAGAAACACATATAGCACCATAACGGCTCCGCCCGATGGAGATTAAGATAATTTCCCTGAATACAAAGGGCCTCAACACTCCAAAGAAGCGTCGACTCCTGTTCCGAGAATTAAAGAGGATGAGAGCGGACATTGCTTTTGTTCAAGAAACCCACCTACCTAAACAGGCCAGTTTTCGGTTGAGGGACCACACATATGCTGGTTCATACGAGGCTAGGTCCCTCTGTAAACGTAACGGGGTGGCAATTCTCATTAGAGGCAGTTGCCCCTTCCGGGAGACACATCATGAAGCAGACCCGGACGGTCGGTTTGTTGTCGTTTCAGGCATCTTACACTCACATCCCATCCATCTGATTAATATATACGCACCAAATCAGCCGGACCCAAGGTTCTGGGAAGGGCTACGAGGGACAATCTCGGGGCTGACCCACGGAATGATATTCTTAGGCGGCGACTTCAATGCGGTCCCGTGCCCAGCGGCAGACAGGAGCTCACGGAGGGGTACTCCTAGATCACAGGGTAGGGGCGGCCAGGATCGCCTTCTTAAAGACTTCATATCCGAGACCAGACTGGTAGATATATGGCGAGCTCACCATCCGGGGGATAAGGACTACTCCTTTTATTCAGCTCCCCATGGAACGTATTCTAGGATAGATCTATTCTTAACCAACGCTGCGGGAATGTCCCGAACGGTAGGGTCACAGGTGGGTAATATATCTTGGTCGGATCACGCTGATATCTCCATCACCTTAGGCAACCTATGCGTAGCTTCACCATGGACATGGAAATTGAACACGTCCCTGCTTCGTGACCCGACGATCCTGGAACAAACTAGGAAAGAAATTGCAGATTACTTTGAGATCAACACCACGCCCGACGTGAACGCGAGCACGGTATGGGCGGCCCACAAAGCGGTCATCAGGGGGACCCTAATTAAACTGGCCACCAGGAGAAAGAAAACGAAGTACCAGAAACTGGAATTTTTACTGGGAAGACTGAGATCCCTAGAACAAAAACACCAAACTGAGCCAACAGAGGGCACTCTCAGACAATTGGAGGCGATCAGACGTGAAACCCGAACCTTATTACTTGATGATACGGCGAGATCTATGACCTGGTCAAAAAGGACCTTTTTCGAAAAGGCAAACAAGATGGACACCCTCCTGGCCAGGACGCTTCGTCCGAGGCAGGAGAGGTCCCATATAACTGCACTTAAACACCCAGACGGCACGACGAGGTCAAACCCAGTTGAGATAGCAAAGATATTCGAGGATTTCTATCGTCGGCTGTATAATCACACCCCAGATGGGAGTCCTTTCGGGGAGCACGAGGAGGAGTATATAAGGCAATATCTGGACAGGTTAGGAATGAAAAAATTGAATGGGGAGATGGCAAACACGTTAGCGGCACCTATCTCAGAAGAGGAAATAGATAAAGCTATATCGAGCCTGAAAGGCAACAAAGCACCAGGGCCAGATGGATTCGATGGCTCATACTATAAAACATTCAGGGAAGAACTTACGCCTCAATTGACCCGTCTTTTTGACGATCTCCGGCAGGGTGGTCAACTAGCTCATGATATGTCACTGGCGACCATGGTACTGCTGCCCAAACCTGGAAAGGATCCACTTTACCCCGAGAACTACAGGCCTATCTCGCTGATCAATCACGATCTTAAGATCTTAGCAAAAATTCAAGCAGATAGATTGAATCCGCTTTTGCACTCTATAATTCATGCAGACCAAGTAGGTTTTATCCAAGGTCGGCAATTGTTCGAAAACACTAGAAGGAACATCGACTTGATTTGGAAACAAGTGACCTCAGAGACCCCTACATTAGTGGTATCCATAGATGCAGAGAAAGCCTTCGATAGGGTCAGGTGGCAATTTCTCTTTCCAGTTTTAAAGAGTTTGGGCCTCCCAGACGAATTCCTCACAATAACAAGAGCAATGTACCACAATGTACGAGCACAGGTGCAGATATCGGGAGCTCCGCTACATCCTTTCAATTTGTACAATGGAACAAGACAGGGTTGTCCACTATCTCCCCTTCTTTTTGTTTTAGCACTCGAGCCCTTACTTCAAGCGATACGCCGACATCCGAACATTGCAGGTGTAAGGGTGGGAGACAAAGAGTTTAAGGTGTCGGCCTACGCAGACGATGTCCTTTTGACCATCACAACCCCTCATGAATCAATGGTGGCGATACAGGATGTAATAACGGAATTCGGTATGGTATCAGGTTATAAAGCAAACATTCAGAAGTCCAGCGCTCTCCCGATTTGTCTACCACAAGACGACACAGCTAGATTACAGGAGACCCACCAAATAAGAATGGAGAGGGATTCTCTGAAGTACTTAGGGATTAATCTGACAGCGGACCCCGGACGTCTATATTCTGCTAACTATGCTCCGCTGCTCAGGGAACTGACGGGAGACCTCGACAAGTGGACAGATAAACCTATTTCCTGGATGGGCAGGATTAACTCGGTAAAGATGAACATTCTTCCACGTATATTGTTTCTTTTCCAGGCTCTGCCCATCCGGGTCACAAAGACACAACTGATTCCCCTGCAAAGATCTATAGGAGACTTTATTTGGCAGAATAAGAGACATAGAATCTCTAAACAGATCTTATACAGACGAAAGGATAGGGGGGGTCTGGGGCTCCCGAATCTTTACTTCTACTATCTGGCGGCCCAATTGACGCAGATCGCCATGTGGCACTCCACGCCAGATGAGAGAAGGTGGGTAGACATCGAGTCTATGATGGTGGGCGTAGATGTGCCACAGTTTACAATATGGGTTCCCAAAGAACACAGACCGATGATACGGGTCACGTGCCCGGCGATCCTAAACTCGATTTGGATATGGGACACATGTAACACCAAATATTGGCTGGCGTCATCCCCCTCTCCCTTGACCCCGATCCTCCGCAACAGAGAATTCCTTCCCGGCATGGCCCCGAGAAATTTCCGCAATATAGAAAGAACTGGTCTACAACGGCTACATCAGCTCTATCAAAACGGGGAGTTTTTACAATTTGCAGACCTGCAATCGGGTAACCATCTAACCCCCGCGGACTTCTTCAGGTTTGTCCAAATTCGGGATTTCGCGAAACAACAACATATCAAAACTGCTGCCCTGGGGAAACCCACCTTCTATGAGAAGTTATGCTCCGACGGGGCTACCCCCAAGGGGATGATCACGTTAATATATGCACATCTTAGTGAAGAAAATAGAGAATGGGGAAGATTGTCTTATACGGCCCAATGGGAGACCGACCTCGGGGAGGTTCTAGAGGGGGTAGAGTGGCAGGAGATATGGGAGGCGAACGCTAAAGTCTCAATATGTGTTACCCTCCAGGAGCAGTCTTGGAAAACTATGTTTCGGTGGTACACTACCCCAATTAAATTACACAAAATGCACAAACTGGAGACGGACGATTGCTGGAGGGGATGCGGGGTCCGAGGATCATACATCCACATGTGGTGGGAATGCCCGAAGTTGCGGGGTTTTTGGGGATCCGTGGAGGATTTGGTAAGACAAACTTTCGACCGGCCCCTAAAACTAGATCCGTGGATCTACTTGCTGAATAGATCGGTGGACGGGTGGACAAAGAGGGAACAGATACTAGTACACAGGATTACTTTGTGTGCACGTCGCGCGATTGCGTTAGCGTGGCTCACTCCTGAGGGCCCAGAATTCTCAGGGGTTATCTCTAGAATCAAAGAGTGTAGAATCATGGACGATCTAACTGCAAGGATGAGAGGGAACACTACGACATTCCAAAAAACATGGGAACCATGGGACAATAGCATAATGGGCTCGAACGAAGATTGAGAGCCTCGCACAAGTGGGAATGAACTCATGATATCCACATCCATACGAAAAGTGACACGTCTGTTAATGCCATAACCGAGCTGCCCCCCCCATCCTCCCTCCACCTCCTCCTTTGCTATTCCCTTTTTCTTTGGTTTTTTTTATCCAAACTTTTTCCTCTCCTTTTCTTATTCTTCTTAATTCTTTGTTTTCCGTTTCTTTATTCAAGCAGGATCATACGGTCAGAGGATTGATGTAGCTAAAGTACTAAAGAGATAAACGTACATAAAGGCTAATTGATTTCCCTATCGGCCTGCCCTAGGTTAAAATAACTTACCCTAATAGACTGGGGGCCCCAAGGTTTTTTCTAGCAGAAAGCGCATGCAAGGTTCAGGTTGAGTATTATCTATCTACAAGCTATGTAATTCCTTGTGGCTTCCTTATGAGCCTAAAGGTGTATATATACCTGTTTTGTTTATAGTGAATGTAAAACCTTCCGTAGCCGACAGGTACCAAGGTTTTCTTAATTCGAGGAAAGGGCTAAGGTTGTATCAGGGGATGTACGCCACGTTCTCAAAACTTATATCCAAGTTGGCTTCTGCGTAAGCCCCAAAGTTTATGCATTCCTGAAGTGTATATTGTGCAAACTTAAAGTTTTACAAAAACAGAAAACCCCTTGGCAGGTAGCCAAATTAGCTTATCGTTACCATAACTTACTGTCTATGCATTATATTAGCACCTGTATAACTACAATTGAACTTGCTTACTATTTATCGGGCTTTTGCATAAGCCGTCACGTTAATGTTACCTGACTACTATTGCCAAGATGAAAAAATAAAGAATTTAAAAAAATAAAAAAATAAAAAAGAAAGGAATACTTAGATAAGAAAATAACCCCTCAAGTGGGCAAATAACTCAAATGAGAGTTGGTTCTACCCTAGGCTTGCACCCCATTAATATATCACCATGATCCCTAGAGTTGGGGGGGGGGGATCTCAAGTCCTGGTATTTATAGTCAACTACTTGGATGGAACTTATATAATTTTAAGTGCAGCAGGGAAAGGCAGTTACAGATTGGCAGTATAAAGTAACCATTTATGAGCGACTCATCCACTCTTTATTGTGTAAGAGAACACCCATATGGTTACACATTCATTAACTGCTAATTAAATTGAAAGATAATGTTTATATCAAAAAGTTATCATCCTTCCTGTCCATGATTGTAACCAAAAGACAAAATAGACACCTACCAATTAGAAATTTGATGCTAAAAAGAGCATAGATATAACTGTATAATTGGGTGTGCTTAAAATAGGAGCAACACTCATGGACAGAGAAAAAAGGAATATCCACTAAACGATCAATTTGACTTAGAAGTGCATTCATAGAAGAGTATAGTAATTTAGAGGAGGCATATATGATAAGCTTAGAGTAAATGATTTGTAAAAAGTACTTGGAAAAGTAATAACCACAATGGCTCAAAAGAGAAAACATGCAGAAGTATTCAATTAGAGGTTCATTCTACATATAAAAAAGTATGAGCCCAGAGCATGATGATCAGTCCAATTCGTATCACTCCTACGTTCCTATAAAATAGGAGGATAAACAAAGGATATTATATTGAAGAGGAGGCTAGATTTAAAATAGCTTGTAGTAGTAATTTGCTTATACGCATTTTGAATATACTAAAATCTAGTCACCTATCATCTAGATTTACTGTGTATTATAGTTATCTTACACCCCTATTAGCCTCAATCACTATGCTTAGTTAGTATCCCTCAATACCATTCCATTCCCAAACACAAACTAAATGTGAACGAACAATTGAGTCAGTGCATAGTGCTTACAAAAGGTAGAAAGGGTGTTCACTTTCTATAGACTTGAGATCCCCCCTCTCTATGGATCTTGGGTGATATTTTGTTTATTCATTAGAAAGGAATAAACAAGAAAGGAATAATTTATTCATTAGAAAGGAGTAATCTGGCGAGTCCAGATACAAATTTCCACACAATCCTCAATTAGACACAGCAATCAAAGATACCCATTTCAACCTCCAATAGTAATCCTCAGTGGAGGTATGACTGATCGTTCTCCAGGCGTAGCCTGCAACAGCTCCATATCTGAATACTTTCAGAATTTTTGGACAAGTTGCAAACATGCTAAAGTGAGTGTATGGTCATCAGGACCAGAAATTTTGAAGGGGATGCAATTTATCAAGTAATTAAGAGGCTTGCACAACAGTGGTTCACATGGGATTGATCTTCCCATGGCAAAGTTTCCTGGATGAGGAATGGATTGGTAAACACTGTTTTAGGATTTTACGTTAATTGTCTGAGTGGTTAGACTGCTGTCATCATTAAACCTTAATAATATTAGCAGAGAAAAAAAACCAAAAAGCATAATACAACATACAATATCAACGAACCCCTTCCAACCAAATAATGAACAATGGTAATCTGTTTCTAACCGAATAATCGAAGTAGATGCTGAGATCCATAAATATAAGACGGTGGAGGAGGTTGATCACTTTGAGGGTAATTTTCAGGCATTAGTTTCCAAGACAATACCTAAAAAGTAAATAAATTAATAAAAAAAAATAAAAAAAAAAAATGTATATGCAAGCAGTAAAGGCAAACCTAGGAGTCGAAATAATTTAAATACAATAAGTGTCTCATCAACATAGACATTAAAATCAGCCCATACAAGGCACATATACATGTATGTACAGACTTCACAATATTTGTTTTAAATACCTGTAATTATATATTTGGTACGTTTACTGCAATTAGACTTATTTACCTATGATCGTTTCCATGCTCATTAAGAGTACTGCCATTGGGGGGGGAACAAACAAACAAGTTCTTGCTTAATATGTATCGATCACCCAGATTCAAATGCATGTAATTATCACACGAATACTATGAACTGCTTCAGATGTATGGATATATACTTTGATATCATTGTTTCCCCTCCCTACCTTCTCTTCCATTCTACCCCCTTCCCACCCACTTTTCCCGGTTTTATCAAAACAATAAAATACCAAGAAATTTTTTTTTTTTTAATTTGTAACATGAGGCTGCTACATAAAAATATGAAACAATGAAGGGGTCTGAATACACTGTATGCATCAAAAAGATACACAGGTTCCTGGAGAGGTCCTTTGTGGATTTATTTTAATATGTTAGTACTTTCCCCTATTTTGAAGGAGCTTTCTTTAATTACACAATATCTTTAAATTATGTAAAACAGGTAAGCACATGGAACAAACTACTTCCATTTGCTTTGATGTGCAAAATTAGGAACTGCCAAGCGGGAGGGGGACCAACACTCTACAATCATACCTCATTAAGTTCGTTGTTTCGCCGACCTTCAAAACCAGACAATACTGAACTTCCTTCTTTGCTAGGCGTTAAAGTAATAGGTGAAGATGATCCACTGTGAACAGGTGTTTCTAAAAGACAAGAAATATACAGCAATATATGTGAAAGAAAGAAGAGAAAAATGTTGTTTATTAATATTTCTTATGAGACTACAGTTTTGGCTACAAAATTGGTCATGCTTGTAAACTCTTATTTTTTTTAATAACTGACATGTTCATGGTGCATAGCTCTCTTCCAATACTCTAAATGTATGCCCAGAACATATTATATATAAAAATAAAATTGGTGATGAAACAAAAATGGAAAGGAGAACCAAAAAAAACAACAAAAAAAAAAAAAGGCCATATTGAGTGGTCTTTTAGTTCAATAGCATGCCATGATGAGGGTTTGTGGAGAGATATAGAGAGATAGATTTATATAAATAAAAGCAAACAACTTAACAACTCAATATGGGCATTTTTTTTTTTTTTTTAGTTCTCACTTACATATCTGTATCATCACCACCAATCTGCAGAATACAGCAGTAATTTTGTTTTCCACAGAAATACCCAAGATTTGCATTCTGTTGCATATTTATAGTACAACAATGCCAAACACACACCATATTTATGGGGGAACAGGATCAAAAGTAAAGACATCCTAATTTTGACATGCCTCTGTTACCAAAAGATGCAATTTGGTAAAAGGGACACATTTATCTCCATTTGTATACCTAGATTTAACAATGCACTGTTTTGAAAGATAGGTTTCCCAAGTTAAGCACAGTGGCCGCATTGCCTTACCTAAAAGGCAAGGGAAATGATGAATGTGGTTGGTATTCAGAGTGATCAGCCAGCCTTGGTGGGTAGGAGGGGACAATCAATCACTGCTGCTGCTGGACGGCCTCATTAGTGAGGAAGCCACCAATAACTCTGACAGCTCATCTGCAGCACTGTGATAGGCTATTTCTGAATACCTATGGCATGTATGGCAGACTTTTTCTGGCTATTAATGGATAGCCTTACTCAAGGCTTTCAATAACAGTAAGTGCACTTTGTGATTGCAGCAATCAACTTTAAATAAACTTTACGCCGGCTAAAGTTCATTGGCATGACATTCACTTGGGATGGTTGTCCCAGTTACATGCCTTAGGGGGACCCTCCACATTACCATTTCTACAATGCCTCATTGCAAGGCATCAAGAAACAACCATCTACCAGTCATCAGCAAGGGCAGAAATGGCACAGTTTTAGTAGTGAAGTGGGAAATCCCAAACAACAGTGCCTTATTCTTGCCAAGATTACCTACTTTTTTCCAAATGCAAAAACAGCTTTGGCATGGATGTAGGGGTGTCTGGATGTCGTCGTTTGGGCTGAGGAGAAGCGCTACTTTCAGACATCCGATCACAGCTAGTACTGTGACGCGTAGAGCGCCTAAGAGATAGCAAAAGATCGGATTCAGTTCTTCGTCTTTTAGGAGTAGCTGGCTCTCCTGTGGTTTGCTGACTGTCTGTTGATTGTGGTGTTGGTGGGTTTAGGAGAGGAGGACTTGGGGATACCTCATCTTGATTTCTGAGGAAAGTAACAAAAACACTTCAGTGGTGTTTCAAAGCAAATAATGAATAAAATAAACCAACAAAATCAGAAGTGAATTACCTATTGCCAAAACAAGTAGTTTCTTTAATAGGAAGAAAAAATTTAGTTGATGTCACCTTCTTAAATTGAGCTTGTTCATATGGGTACAGAAGAATAAGGGGTAGAGTGAAATCAAAAGTAATCCGTAAGCCATCCACCATTTCTTTACAAAGTTCAACACTGAGAAAAGAGAAAAAAAAAAAAGTTACATTTAAAAAAAAAAAATACAAAAAAGTTAAATCTAAATAAAATACGAAACATTCATTCTAATTAGTTAATTCATACGTGAAACTTCAATATATAAAAGCAAAAAACCACAAACATCTCTCAATTTTAAAGTGAAGTATTAAAAAGGAGTTTAAATTTTTTTATACTTTTTTTCAGGTGGCACATAGTGAAGATTCATGTTGACATTTGAAGATGTCTGATGATGCCGGAATCTCTCATTTGCTGAAAATGCAGCATTGATGGCAAAGTGCTTGACATAGGATTCCAGAATAGTAATTATGTTAGTCTGGCAAGGTAGTTTTACAAGCTGGGGAGGAAAAAATAAATAAAATTTAAAATTAGGAAAGCAACAGGCTGGGCACAAAAGGATAGAGATGACGAAGGAAACAGTGGGAGACAGTCAAAGTTAAACAAACACTTAAGTGAGATTAGCCAGGAATTCAAGGTGAATTTTATGTTCCCTTTAAAATTCACAGCAGCTCTCACATGCGATCAACACTTTTTAATGTTTGTGTATAGAATATTTTTTAAGATTGCCATTCTCAGTAGGAAACAAAGAAAACTGCTGTATGGGGTGGGAAAAGTGAGTAAGACATACTGACTTTAAAAAAAAAAACAACTTAGTAGTTATTTTGCTATGAGTGTCCCTTTAACAATTACTGAAAACCAGAACATACAGCATGTAACTCATAAAAAGTGCAATATACCCTTTTGCGCTTATTTATGTAGTAGCAATCCTCTTCAAGTTTCTTCTTCAAAACATCAGGAATTTCAATGACAATATTCTTTTCTTCCATGTCACGTTTAGAGTGAATGTCTTGTTCTTCTTTCTATAAATAGTAATGCAAGATTGTGTGAAAGACAAAAGCTGCTTGATAAATGCACACTTTTGCATTTATTATCCCAGTAGTCAGATCTGCCAAGAAATACTTATTCGAGAAAACAAAATGAAAACCTAGAATGGAGTTTGAAAAGATGTCAACTTTGGTAAACGTTTACAAAAAAGATTTGCTCATTTCTATTCTTATTATTTGGTCTAAAAGTGATTTGACAAGCAGCCAGTATACTTTAGTTTGCCTAATCAATTCGTTCACATTTAGTTTAAAAATAAATAATATGGCAAAATTGTTCACAAAAAAAAAAAAAAAAATGCCAGAGAAAAGTAATTGGCAGAAAGAATCCAACCATGCTTCCTAACTCAAGGATTTATAATCATGGGTCAAAAGTGTTAGTTTCATTTAGTAAAGCTGTTTTATAAAGAACCTTCACTCAGCCACCAACAACAGATATAGGATGGCTTTATACCAATAGGCAGCCTATTTATACAAAGAGTGACATTTTGTTTGTTTTCTCTTTCAAGTTATTAGCACTACTAGAGATTACATGGCAAAAAAACAAAACAAAACAATGCTGCCTTGATGCCATTTTAGAATTGATAGGATGCAATATTTAACATACCAAATATAATACTGAAGTTAAAAGAAATCAAGTACAGCTGCAAACAAAAGCAAGCCAAGTATAAAGTTGCTTGCCTCTGCAGTAGCACTACCCTTCAACACTACATAACCAGTTATTGTGAGTGGGCTGCATGTAAGAATCGATCATATAGCACATTTGTGGTCTACAGCAGTAAAATAAATTAGACAATGCAGTCAAAATCGGTTATTTCCATCCTAATGTAATAATATTCTAGCTAAATTGCACACACAGACAAATCACTTCATTCTCGTAAAATTGTAGATTTTTCTAAATAAGCCAAATTTAACCTAGAATTTTAAAACGCAGTTTGTTAATTCACTGTTCTGTGAAACAGCACTTCGGTATTTTTTATTTCAGCTTTGAAGCCAAAAAGCTAAAATAAATTAGGTCCAGGCATTTAGGGATTGCTGCAGGAAGGCAAGTTTATTGGAAAAAAAATAAAAAAAAATAATATGAAACATTTCAGCCTACACGTTGCAGTTTGTTTCAATAAACCTGTCTTCCTGCAGCAATCCCTAAATGCCTGGACCCAATTAATTTTAGCTACTAAACTGGGTTTTTGCCAACCCTGGCCCTGATAAGTACCTGGACTCCTAAGTGTGAGTGCGGTATCCTCTGTGAATTGGAACAAAATGTTCTTTTATCCATATAACATCATAAACAATTTTTTTTGTAATAAGCTCAATCTTCCTCAAAAAAAAACCAACACATTCACAACACAATCATAATACACTATGCAACATTTCAACCACTTACAGAGACACAACAACACTGAAGTAAGTAATTTGGATGGCAGAACTATAATTTATTACCTTACCAACACATGTGGCAGCGTTATGTTAATGTTATAAAAAACAATAAAAAAAACAAAAAAAAAACAAAGTGTATGTAATTTCTATGGTTTTATACCATTTCAGCCTTTTCTTCAAAATCACTTTCTTCACTTTTTATTTCCTCATCAGTTCCTTCGTCACTGTCCTCCGATGAACTACTTAGTGCTACAAGACAAATATAGAAGCAGTTACCTCAAATGTTTGTGTTATGCATATTTTTATCTTTTCATGCAGTACTACAGAACATAAATAATTTGGACTGCACACTTTACAAACAGGATTTACTGAGAACATAAACATTAAACACTGACTGGAATAGAATCCCTACCCCCCCAGAAGAAAAAAAAAAAATGTAAAAAGCATCAACCAACCAATTTAATTGCACTTTTTGTACAATTGTTACAAATAAGAGGTTGTCTGTCAACACATTAAACAGAAACAATTTAACAACCGTGTTTGTATTTTTTTTTTTGTCCTTTTAGAATTTAAAATGGAGCCACGCTTTGGCCAAAAATCACAATATTAAGAACAGTACCAGGTGTGTGGGGTACAAAAACAAACCACACCACACACATTTTGTTAAGAGACAAACACCCTCTCCCGGGTGCTCCACTCTGTCCCTGGGAGACTTGTTACAAAGAAAAGCTGTCAATTCCACATAGGGAAATAAACAAGATTTCAAAAAAAAAAAAAAAAGTGTGTGTGTGTGTATATATATATATATAAAAAAAATGATGGCCATAATCAATACAAGATGCACATACATACATACAAGAGGGTACAGTGCATGGGACACAACATGCTTTGTGCCTCATGGGCATTTCCAAGTCTTACAAGGCATAAAATGTGTTGGTGCCCCCTACTGTTTATGGGTTTACCTTGCATTAATTGATTCAAATAAAACAAAATTTTCGCTTTTTATAAAAATTTATTTGGTACATTGTCCCATTTGGAAAATTGGTAGCTTTGTTTTATAGGCGGGAAAGCTGTCACAGTTTTTCTAAAAAGGGGGTCGATAATACACTTTTTTTTATACCTTATTGCATATTTGTGAAGAAGTCCTCCAGTCAACAGTTTGCTCTATATGCTACAGACAATTCATGACTGCAGTCTTCTTCCTGTACAGTAAAAATTGGCACGTTTGGTCACTGTGCCAAATTAGGAAACTGCCCAATAGAATGTTTCTTTCAGGGAAGCACTAACTACCAATTCCCTATTAAAGTTCTTCACTTTCATGTGAACAATTGCTCTAGCGAAGTGAATAAAGTAGCTCTCCTGGCTGTCAGTTTCACAGGCTGTTCCAAAGTTATCCTAAATTAAAAAAAAACAAACACACCATCTCTTGAAATATGCACAAGGGGTATGCCATTAATCTAAATGTCAATGCTGCCGCTCATATAGGTGGCGAACTCCTTTACATTCACATAGCATTTAGAATAAGTCCAGGCACGCAATCACTGTTATTGTCAGGACGAACCAGTGGCCCAACACGCAGAATGAAGTAAGAGATGTAACAAATACAAACAGTAACAACATATTACCGGGCCTTAGAATGGGCGGAATTAACATAATAGAATAAACAGTCACGAGCCAGGGTCAGGAATACAGAAAGAACAAAGCCAAAGGGCCAGGATACCAGACATAGGGGAAGTCAAGCCAAGACCAAAAACAAATAATCAGAAACGCACTCTCGGATAACCAACATTATGGAAACCACGACAGGGAACTGAACAACTGCAGGTTTGGGTTTAAATAACCCAGTATATCTTGCTATTGGCTAATTTGGGTCTCGTGACCTCCACAAGCTTTAAACAAAACACCACGGCCAAGCCAATTAAAATATAAATAAACCGTGTCTGCATGGCGAAAACGTGACCACGCATGGTCACAAGTGATGTAATTGTGGGCGGCGTTAATAATTAGCGACGTCTTGCAGCGGCTGGCGCCCCTCTCAACACTGGACCCGGCAGCCGATCCACAAACTGCATGGAGGGAGAGGCTCTGGGGGTGAGGGGAGTAACCTTTCCCTCCTTTAGTGCAACCGCGCTAAACAGTCGCGGCCACCCTGTGGTGTAACTGTACCTATCAGGTGCAGTCACACTGAGGTGCCGATCAGGCACCGTGATAGTTATGATGCAGACTTTAATTTAATCAACAAGTTTCACCCCACTGTGTAGCCATTGTCAAACCACGTGACCAATAGTCAACGCCTCACTGAGTACATCTACAGAGTAATGCCTTTCCAGCTTGATGCATCTCCATGGCGACAGAACTGCTGAAGTGAAATATAAATATGTATTTATAACCATGCGGTATAATCTATAAAGTTCCACATATTTTGAACTTGACGTATATTAAAGCAAGATTTCATTGGTGGCACCCTATATAGGGGGTATGTTAATTGCACATGAATATAAACCATGAGAATTTCTTAAATAGTATTATTAGACAAGTTTGGTGCGTTGTATAACTCCCTTAAGCGTTTCTGCCACCATGGAGACATCAGGATGATAAAGCCTTCTGCTGCAGATGTAGTTTGCGCCTGGCTAGCCCACGTTCATATGGTGTTTGGCTCACGTGATCGGACTTCATTTCACGTGAATTAATACTATCATGGTCTCCTCATGGCATGCAGCGTACATGTGAGTAGTTTGTTTTTCTGCATACACACCACTTTACAAGTTGATTTAAATTTCATGGCAAAAGACAACATATCATGGCTGAAGTGTTGTCATTTTACTTGATGATTCAATTAAAGTTAGCATCGTACCCAAGATTGATTGACCAAACAGACACATACTGAAAGCCTGGAGGGCCCATAACACACACCTGCCAATGGCTTGTGGAAAATTTCATCCTTGCCTAAAGTATTTCAGCAAATTGTTTGTTGTGTCCCTTTTTAACCTTATTGTATCAGAAGGGTGAAAGGCATACAAGCTCAAGTAGATGTTAGGAAGCAGTGACAGTGTTTGCAAATTGGTACAAATAATGAAATGCATAGTAAATTTGTCTATGTTCTGATGATCCACAAAGATGCCACAGGCATTAAGCACTGTGGCATATTTGTATGGTGGCAATAAATGGTTAAGCTGTCCTGTTGGTACAGTTAGGGAAAGTTTAGTGAAAGTTCATGACCCCTGGTTAGGTTGTTGGGCAGAGTGGGACAAGTAGCAGATTTGTTGACATAGCTGTTGCTGGGGACAAAAGCTGGCTGGGGATTGGTTGCTAGCTGCGAGCGAGCAAAAGAGCAGGAAGCTAGGTAAGAATAAAAGTGTCTGTCAGAGGTCGCTCAAGACAGGAGAAGCACGGACGGACCCCCGCCCTCCCTCCCCTACTTGCTAATTTTCTTTATAATTAATGTCGTGGTGTTGGACAGCATGGGGCAAAGTCATCTTCAGGTTCATCTGGATCTACAAAATGTGATTGAAAGGGCCTTGGCTGTGGGGGGGCCTCAGCTGTGATAGTTCTACCCCAGCTGAGGCGGTGGGGCAAGTTCTGAGGAAGGATATGTGTTAAATGGTTGTATATAAAAGGCGGTCAGGTTAGCTATGACTGACTGGCAATTAAGTGATGGTGAAAGTTAAAGTTTTGGAAGTAAAGTGGAAAGTTTATGTAAATATGTTATACCGTTATCAAGTTATGGTGGTATGCCCCTTTTAAGCTTTAAACAAAACACCACGGCCAAGCCTATTAAAATATAAATAAACCGTGTCTGTCTTTATTGTGTTGTCCAAGTTATTTATGTGAAATATTGCCTACCATACATATAGAGATATGCAAATAACAGTTGAACTAACTTTCCAGTGTTCATTAAGAGCTAATTTTAAATCCAACAGCTCTTAATTGTCAGAGTAAAATAATTAGGCATCTGGTAAGTACTCCCAGCAGTTAAAGGGAAGTGCCAACATAAAAAGTTAATTTGAAAGCCATTGAATAGATTTTTTGCCAACATATTACCAGAGGCACTTTTTACTAATATTTCCAGGTGATTATGTACTTATAAGAGGCCTGTATCACAGACTTGGTGCTCTATAAGAAACAATTCATCACAATGTCTGCTTTCAAACTAAATTTTTTTGTGGAGCATGATATTTAACAGATAGGATGGCGAGGAAACTTCCCTGACTGAATAGATTTGCCCAGTCTTCGTAAGTCGCATTATGGTAATAGTGAATGGTTCGTCATAGTTGGAATGCTGAATGCAAAAATACTCACTGTTGTCATCATTGTCCTCTTTTTCATTAGTAGGAAGGGTTTTTAAAACAGAGTCTACACCAGGTAATCTGCACCTCCTCTTCTTCCTGCCCTTTCTCCTCCTAGAAACACAACTCTAGTGAGTCTATTAGCATTCAAAAAACAGTGTTTTAATGAAAGACATGTAAAGTTATAGAACCATATGAATAAAAATTATCCTGCATACAAATATAGCCATTCCAGTCGAATTTTACTCGGTCACTGGAGGCAGAGCCACAACTACATCTGGCAGGCGTTGCTCTAGTGGGCAGTGAAATACAATACTTCTGAGAGGATCATTGGGGACTGATGTACATGCACAGAGAGCAACGCATGCATCCAAATTAATCTCATAGTAAAGTATTGAATTCAATGCATTTGGTCACATTACCACATTTCACTTCATTGTTCTTGAGGAAGTGCCTCTAGAAAGGGCAACCTTCGGCAATCTAGTATTTGTAGGCTACATCTCCCATAATGCGTTTAAAGACCTAATGCTGGCAAAGCCTCATAGGAGATGTAGCCCACAACATTTGGAATGCCGAATACATCTCTTTAAAAAGAAACACCTTAAAATTGTTTCTGCTACAAAGGCTCCGTTGTCCATTGATTTTCCTAGCCTTTTGGTTTAACATAAAACCTGCATTAAAAAGCAAATCAGTATTTTCCATTTTTATGCTTAACTTTATGTAAATTAAAAATGTTGTTATTGATGGTTACAGGAGCTTTAAGGCATCTCACTCCTTTGTTGCACCTCAGATTCCAAGGTTGGAGATAAATAATGAAATTTTTTTCAATGGTGGAATTTGACAGTTACCAGTGATATATTTATCCCAAGCAGTTTTAAAAAAAAAAAAAAAAAAAATGTTCCAAGTGTATTGAAAACATTGTATTTTCCCTCCAAGTGATGCTGCTCTAAACTGCATGAACAGAAATCAGTTAACATGAAATACATATAAACTAAATAAAACGATAAGGTAAGCCAGTTATTAACGGATTAGAACCAGTTCCATGACAGCAATAGGCATAGCACATTTCTAGTAAATGCTTTATAGATGAGGGTAAAGCCCACTGGCGTACATACCGCGGTGGCAGGGGTCGTGGCTGCGACTGGGCCCGGACCTCCAGGGGGCCCGGCCACCCTGCGACCACAGTGTGTATGCTAGTGTGGCCACATTTTGCCAGCCTCTTCATCTGGTGGGCCCAGGAACTGGCCACCTCAGAGCCCCCCCGAGGCTGGCAATGGCTTCACTTTGCCGGCTGGCGCATGCGCAAGAGAGCACTCTCTGCCCAGGTAGGGAGGCTGGGGGATAAATAAAAAATATATATATATATATATATATATATATATATAATATATATATGTGTGTGTGTGTGTGTGTGTGTGTGTGTGTGTGTGTATGTGTGTTAGTGTGAGTCAGTGAGTGTATTACTGTGTGTGTGTTAGTTTGTGTGTGTCTGCTAGTGAGTGTCACTGAGTGTCAGTTATTGAGTGTGTGTTAGTTTGTGTGTGTCTGTCAGTGAGTGCATGTTTTGTAAGTGTGTATGTCAGTAAATTTGTGTGTCTGTTAGCTAGTGTGTATGCATCTGTTCGTGAGAGTGTGTGTGTGGTTTAAACCCCTTCAGCACTTACGCCAAGGGAGCCTGGCGCTGGGGATCTCTCCGCCCCGATCCGCCTTTCAGCTCCGAATGCGCGGCAAGAGCCACGCAAGCATTCAAACCACCCATAGGAAAGCATTACTCAATGCGTTCCTATGGACGTCCAGCAGAATCGCAGAAGCGCCTCTAGCAGCTGTCCATGAGACAGCTACTAGAGGCTGGATTAACTCTCAGGGAAACATAGTAGTTTCCCTGAAACTGCTATGTTTTCAGCTGCAGGGTTAAAACTAGAGGGACCTGGCACCCAGACCACTTCATTGAGCTGAAGTGATCTGAGTGCCTATAGTGGTCCTTTAAGTGTATGTGTACCATGCACTGGCGTGCACACTGCGGTCACAGGGGTCGCAGCCCTGCGACCAGGAGCCCGCTGCCATGTGTAGCGGCCCCGGTCTGCACAGAGTAAGCGCCAGGTGGGGGGGAGAGGGGGCCCACGGATCAATTTTCGCAACGGGGCCCCATGGATCGAGTGTACGCCACTGGTACAGCCGGAACCTTTTAATTTTCTCCAATGCAAAAAAAAAAAAAAAAAAATTACAGAAAATACTTTAGTAGATATAGCTTAAATGAAAAATGTATTTTATTATCCATTTTCCATTGGAGGTCTAAACACAGCTTGCAAAAACAACAGATCTTACCTGCAGCCTTTGCAAGCCCTCACCCTTCCTACCCAACGAGTGCTCTAAAAGTAATAAGACTGGTTGTCTGATGGACAGCAAAGAGGTGCAACAAGGTCAATTTCCATTTAAATATGGACTTTGTAATATGGGGGAGGAGATATGCACTTTTGAAGTATTTATGTGGAAAGAGTGGTTAATGTGTCACATGCAAGCGAATCAGCAGGGCAGGGCAGGAATACAAGAAGATAGAAAAATGAAGATAATTCAGACAGAAGTTAAAGTCCCACTCCAGACACAAAAAGTTCATCTAAATGAAGTTGTTATGGTGCCAGAAAGCCCCTGGACACACTCTTACCTCAAGGGGTTGAAACACTCTTGAATGGTTTAACTCCAAAGGTTGCCTCCAGTGCCGGTCTCCACTTCCACCCAGCGGCTTCATAATTTTCAGATTCAGGAAACGCAGAGTGCCGACGGACCGGGGCATCATTGTTTGGCTGAGAGTGTCAGCTGACCACCCTCAGCCAATCAGTGACTCCCCATTCACCAAACTGGTTTGCAAAGAAACTTACCTTTCGAAAGCCAGTTTAGTGAATGGAGAGTCATTGATTAGCTGAGAGCGTCAGCTGAGCGTTCTCAACCAAACAGCGGCACCCTGCCCGGCGGCACACTGTGCTTCCTAAATCTGACAATTCAGAAGCCGGAAGCTGCCAGGGGAAGTGGAGACCGGTGCTAGAGGCAACTTTGTGGTTAAACCATTCGAGAACGATTTAAACCCTGGAGGTAAGAGTGCCTCCTGGCACCATGACGTCATTTAAATGAACTTGTTTTGGTGCCTGAAGTGATCCTTTAGAAAGGAACACAGGTAATGCACAACAAGCATTAATCTTCTGTTTACTTATCATGCACAGAGGTTTCTTACATGCGAGCTACTGCTTTCCTTGCCAATTTTCTTTGCAATCTCCGATTTTCATCAGTATCACGAAGAACATGATCTTCTGCTGCCCATCTATCCCAGCTAGGTTTGTAAAGGTAAGAATAAATTGGAAGTGTAAACAAAACCATGTTAACAGATAACAGACATAACTTTATGACAGTCTAAGCCTCTTGGCAACTACAGCTGCAAGGAAAAGTGTGAACCTTTTGTAATTACCTACATTGCTGCTTTAATTACTCACAAAATGTGGTTGGTTCTTCATCTAAGTCACAAATATAGACACAATATGATTAAATTAAAAACAAACAGCTGCATTTTTCTACTTTTTTTGGAAACAGGGTAATGACAGTGCAGGCCTGGAAAAGCAAGTTAATCCTTACATTTAGTAACATATAGCTCCTCCTTTAGCAGCAACAACTTCCAACAAACATCTACTGTAGCTGCTTAAAAGACTTACAAAGTGTTGACAAAACCAACTTGCGAACTACGCGAAGATCCAATGATGGGCAAACTATTTGATTTGTTGTTCATTCTCATATGTCCCATTTTAGTTTGATGTATCGCATTGAAGTGGTTGCAGTCTATGTAATCTTTTGGCACCACACTTCCATTCAGTGTCAAACTATTTTTCTTTCTAAATGAGAGTCCCTAGTAGCCTGTCATACCTGAGCTGCTAGGGCTAATGAGGATAATATTAACCTAAACAGCAATGGATGAAAGCGAAAGTCTGAGAGTGTCCGCTAACCGCCTTCAGCCTTTCACAGCAGTCGTTACTACAGCGTATTTGTATGGATAGAAGGAAGGTCGTGATCTCGGCCTTAGCCATATCTCCAGTGGGGCTGCGCTGCGGCGGCTGGCTTGGGACCCCCATTCAATGTTTAAACTGCTAGAAAATAGTTTTACATGGAATGGAGGGACAGAGCGAGGGGACTCCAAGCACTATAACCAATTCAATGAGATATTACGTTTTTTCCTCCCAGCGAATTAGGTCTTGCTGCTGCTCACCTCTGTAAATGTGCCAATGAAGAGCTATCACCCATTAGAAAACTTAACAGATGTATGAGCAAGATGACCATATTTTACCCATATATGCACAATAGTTTTTTCCCCTTGTATAAAATAGAAGGCATTAAAATTGATTTTTTTGTACAACATGCATTTATGGGCAGCATGGATTCGTGGGCAGTGTATTAGAATTAGCTTTTTTCCCCCCCACACATGCACAATAGTCTCCCAATGCTTTCCTATGGAAAAGCATTGGATTGCCTGAGATCATCAAGTTTGATGATCTCATCCAAAGTGAAGAACACACTCATAGGACTTCAAATTCAACACGATAACGTCATTTATTTTTTTTACAACTGTGCAACAGCATAAATTCACCATTTAAGTCCCATTACCAAACTTTCCTTAATACATCAAGGTAATTGGACTGAAACATTCGTTATATGCAAATGCATGTCTCCTTAAAATAAATTCGCTCTTTTGTTTACGTTGAAGCTCTATGTCCAGTGTCAGGCAACTTTTTTTTTTATACCGTACTTTTCTAAAAAAACCTATGTTTCTATGAAAACTGAAGTTAGTTTTTTTTGCGGCCCACGTAAACATTGTTTATTTGGCCTGTGTTAGCCTTTGAGTTTGACATGCTTGGTGCACAGTTCTATGAGCTGTGCACAGTAAAGGGCAACTAGCATTTCAACTGATTTTAACCACTTTATGCTTTACCTTTGTTCTGTCATGTACAAAGTTTCAATCAGCAAAACGTTTATTAGCATAGTAGAAAAAAAAAAAAAAATAGTTACATTTGTGATCCCATCACCTTTTAACAAACTACACTTACCTTCTATTCCAACCATTGAAATGGATCAGATATTCTGGGTTTTTTCTGCCCTTGTCATCTTTGCTAACAATTATATCAACAACCTGAAATAATAAGATGGGTGTAAATTAAAATTAAATCAGAAGACAATTTAGATGCTTGCCTACAATACCTCTGTCAAGAAGGCAGGAGGAATATATATATATATATATATATATATATATATACACATACATACACACACACACAAACATACCCCCCCGCCCCCAGATTATAAACACAACACTTGTTTTTGCCCTCATTTTTCATGAGCTGAACTCAAAGACCACTCTAAAAATGTGCAGTTTTATCACAAAGCACAATGCCACATATGTGCCCGTGAATTGAATGTTCAGTTCTCTACCATAAGCCGTCTCCAAAGGCATTTCAGAGAATTTGGCAGTACCAACCGGCCTCACAACCGCAGACCACGTGTGACCACACCAGCCCAGGACCTCCACATCCAGTATCTTCACCTCCAAGATCCTCTGAGACCAGCTCCCAGGAAAGCTGCTGCAACGATCAGTTTGCATAACCAAAGAATATCTGCACAAACTGTCAGAAACCGTCTCAGGGAAGCTCATCTGCATGCCCGTCATCCTCATTGGGGTCTCGACCTGACTGCAGTTAGTCGTCGTAGCAGACTTGAGTGGGTGAATGCTCACATCCGATGGTGTCTGGCACTTTATAGAGGTGTTATCTTCACAGATGATACAAGGCAGATAGCATGTATGGCGCTGTGTGGGTGTGCAGTTTGCTGATGTCAACGTTGTGGTTTGAGTGGTCCATGGTGGCAGTGGGGTTATGGTATGGCCAGGCATATGTTATGGACAACAAACACAGGTACATTTTATTAATGGCATTTCAAAATGCACAGAGATACTGTGATGAGATCCTGAGGCCCATTGTTGTGCCATTCATACACGACCATCATCTCGTGTTGCACCATGATAATGCACAGCCCCATTTTGCAAGGATCTGTCCACAATTCCTGGAAGCTAAAAAAAAAAAAAAAAACCTTCCACAACAACTTTTTGTGAAAGAGAGGTGTTGCACTGCGTGAGGAAAATGGTGGTCACACAAGATACTGACTTGTTTGGCCTGTCACCTAACTTCATTCATGCATGCATGTGAATGAGGTTAGATGAAAATCCATGCTCACGTACAAATGTGTATGGGCAAATGAGTATAACAACTGTAAAAAGTTAGAGTGCCCCTTTTTTGTTATAGTGTTTTATTGTAGTTTTACATTTTAGTAATATATGTGCAAAGTAAGCCAACTAAAACAGTTAATGTTGAGGTTTCTTCTAAGTCATAGCAATTCAAATGTAAATGGCAAAACTCAGTAACGCTTGAGAGTTTTTCCAGAAAAAAAAACTCCTCTTGACAAAGTTTTGCCATTAGAATGTGCTACTTCACTTTACTGAATAGCCCTGTATCCAATTGATCGGTCATTAGCTGCCTCTTAAAACAGCACTTAAAGAGTCAAGACTCCTGGGGCCAAAGACCCCCTTTCACTGAATTCCAACATGAGTATTCCATAAACTGAAAAACATATATTTTATAAAATATTGAAATTAACTTTGCTTGAATTACACAAACACCGCCAGAAATTATACTCTGACAAAGGTAGGGAGTAGTTTGTCTTCGTATTGCTCCTACACGTTACAGCTGGGGGAGGGGAGTCTCTCTCGTGGATCCAATGGTCTCTTCGATAGACTTCAGTATTTTTACTCGTGTCCATGCAGAAGAGCACAACGTGGAGGTGGGCTTCTGGCAGCTGCGAGGGACAGATTCAGTTAAGTATCTCACTCCTTTCCCTGTATCCCATGGCACTCAGCAGCACATTCAGCACCAGTGTTTTTGCAAATTACAGAACCGCTTTAAAAGAACACTCTAGGTTCAGGAATACAAATGTGTATTTCTGACCCTATAGTGTTAATTGCTAATTAGGTGGCCAACCTCCCCTACAATAGGTTAAACGTGCCTTCATTGCAGCACCGCGGTGGTCTGCCATAACTGGCCCCTTTGAAAAAATGCTTTCCCACTGAAAATGGTTGACTGCCACTTGAGGTGTCCCTAGGCAGCAATGTAAACACTGACTTTTCTCTGGAAATGCAGTGTTTACATAAAAATGTCTGCAGGGACTCTATTTCCATACTCACCAGAACAAAAAAAACACATTAAGCTGTATTTGTTCTGGTGACTATGGTGTCCCTTTAAATCTCACTCGTTGCTTTTACTTTCTGAAGAACTTAAACATGAGTTTAATAATAGCCAACAGGTACATTCTCATTATCTCTCATAATGCATTCTTTGCATTCAGGCACTTAGTCAAGGCTCTTGTGCCAAACAAACAATCTGTTATTTTAATTTGACATTAGCTGACTTACAATAGGAATTGTGTGAGTGCAGTGTAAACAAATACAATAAAACAAACTATATATATAATACAGACACAGAGTAATAAAGTTGCCAGCCCAGCTCCTGTACCATACACCCCCTGATATAAACAGAGTAGTATTGTATTGTTGTGATGGTGTGATGCCCTCTCTCTCCCAGCAGAGGCCAGTGAGGAATGAAGCACTGTATGACAAGCCATCTCATGCACACTTCCTGTGCCCACCTTTGCATCGTACAGCACTTTGGCCTTGGTCGGGTCTGGTTCAAAGCAGAGAACTTTCTCCCCTTTGTGGAATTTAAATTTCATTCCCCGCGAGTTCATTTGTTCATCATGGCGAAGAGCAGGAACCGAGACTCCGGCGGCGCCCGCAGCGCCGCACTGACCATGGGGGAAAAGGAGCACACTGCCATTCGGAGACAGGCACGCCATGCCTACTAAGGGAAAACCAACCAATGACAACCGAGTCTCAAGGGAATCGTCCAATCCCGTGCGAGTAGAGGATGCCCTACAGACAGAACAGCCAATCAGACTGCGAGCAGGGAAAAACAGGAATACTTCATCAAATGCAGTAAGAGTAATGCCGTTTAGCTGCTAGAGACAAAGCAGGATGTGTCGTACATACGTTACAAAATCGGCGAACTCGAAACACTAGAGAAAGGAACCTTACAAAAGTGTGTCGTCCCAAATTAGAACGCGAGCGGCCATTTTGTTGGCGGTGAAGATATTCTAATTACTAATATGAGTCCATCAGATTCCAGGCTGTGCTGTGTAGGTAGAAAAGTTAAGCTTGATTCAGTTGTAATATTCATCCATCCACAGACACATTCATTTTCATTTAGAAAGATAATATCATAGGAATTCCTCTGTAGCCGTAGACATACATGCTGTTTACCCTGGGCTTGTTGGGTAATTGGTTAATTATGATAAATGCTAAAATTAAAAATAAGTTTAACCACTTAACAGGGAGGGGTTTGTGGTTGAATAACACAATTTTAAAATGTAGGCAAATAGTTAAATTGGGAACATTATATTATTATTATTATTAGCATTATTAGCATTTAGATGTCATATCTATGGACAGTCCCTATTTTTGTTCCTCTTTTCTATCCTAATGCCCCTCTTTTCTAGAAGCTTATTATTATTGGTGTTTATAAAGTTATACCAGACCTCCATAGCAATTATACTCACAGTGATGTGTCTTTAAAGTGCAATAAATGGTTCAGAAATCAGTCTTTTGAAATATACATTGTTCTTGTTTTAAACTATAGTTTGGTTTCATAATGTTTTATTAGAAAGTCACCTACAATGTCTCAGAATAGCCACTGCCCCCTTTTCACCCCTTAAATAAAGTGTCCCTCTTTGTCAATTTTAAATGTTGGGAGGCATGTTAGTGCCAAGTGATTTACAATTGAAGAATGAGGCTATTATAGACCGGTAATTGAAATACAGAATATTAACAGGCAAGACGTGAAGTAGAGAAATATATATAGAATCTCTCACACACTCGTAAATTTGTGACTATGATTCTAAGATCCACATACAGTGATATAAAGACGTGAAGTAGGCCTGTTCAAACAAGTTTACAATGTACGAAAAAGGGGTAAAGAAACTCAAGAGGAAGAGCAGAATATCGGAGGGAAGAAGGGATAGATCAGTAAGAGGCCTGTATCAAAATAAGCTGGTAAAAGTGTTGTGTGGGAGAACCAAATAGTAGAAGGAGGGAGTATGAGTTGCGCTATGAATGTGAGGGAACTGGAGAGTGCAATTGTTATGAGAGAAGCATCACACAGCGCCGCTATCAGGGGGATACAAGGCTTCAAGCAACCAGTTATGTTGATTTGTTTTGTCTGGTGTAGTGGTGTGGCAGATCCTAGGGGAAGAAAAGCATACCTCACAACATGCAGGCTCTGCAATTTAGGACTTGTCGACAGAGTCCTGAGGAGGCACCGCCAGTTACGTGTGTACATCACTAGCAATTCCCACAATGGGTTGGGCCACCCAGAAAATGGGTGGTCTAATCTGAAAGGGAGTTGGTCTTCCTAAAAAAGGGGCCAACCCACGAACTGACAGGCAGCTTGGCCGGCCCCAGCTATCAAAACCATGCAGGGAGTGCTGTAGAAGCTTTCCCTGCATGGTCCTAGTTCTTGCTGCACAGAGTTAAATGATGCGCTCTTGTTGTGCTGCCTGGGACATTTCCTTGGTGTCCCCAGATGAAGGGATGATGACCCTATCCACTGCCGACAGGGCCTTCAATGGCAACGTGAGCATCAGAAGTGGAACGTGGAGTAATAGAAGGAGGTTGACGGGTTGATTAAATCATGTTTTCTTTTATATCAGGTGGAATGACCTGGGGAAGAGATGGCAACAGTATGCACTATGGGAAAAAGGCAGGCTGGCCGGTGGAGACAGTCTTATGTTCTGGACAATGTTTTGCTGGGAAACCTTGGATTCTGGCATTCATGTGGATGTTACTTTGACACATACCATCTATTTAGAGATTATTGCAGACCACGTACACCCTTTCATGACAGTGCTGTTCCCTTATGGCAATGGCCTCTTTCAGCAGGATAGTGCACTCTGCCACACTGCAAAAGTTGTTCAGGAATGGCTTGAGGAGTATGACCTATCCTATCAATTGAGGCTCTACCTCTCAACTTGCACAACTTAAAGGATCTGCTGCTTATGTCTTGGGGCCCTCTGAAGAGCCACTCTGGCGAAACGCGCACGTCAGGGGCTCAGTGGTTTTCCTACAGCACTATAGTATTATACTTATTTTGGTTAATCTAAAAATCTATCTTAATTACCTGCAGGGAGGGATGGTCTGGAGGGGCATAAGTTGGTGATTATAGTCTTTTTAGGGGAAGTTGGTGGTTGGGAGCCATGTGCAACTTATAGGTGACCGTGCGGTCTGTCACTATATATGTATGTATATATATATATATCCAGATCCAGCCAGAGTACTGGCCAATCAACCTGACATCATGGTGGCTATATATAGGGTGATATAAACAAAGAAAAAATTAGACCTGTGCTGCAGATACTCCACACTGAAATCCCAACAGTGTATATACAACCAAAAAACAAACACGAGTCCTGCGCATTTAGTATAGGTGTGCACACCCAGGTGCTACCACAATTTATTTGAGGACAAAGTTAAAGCAGCAACCGTTTCGAGCAGCAGCCCTTTCTCAATGCTAATGTCCTCGTGGTGGTTGTCAAGAAACGGAAGACTGCAATCGTGGTGGATGTGGCAATACCCAGTGACTATAACATCAGGAGAAAGGAACATGAAAAGGTGGAGAAATACCAATGACTGAAAGAAGAACTAGAAAGGATGTGGGAAGTGAAGGCAGTAGTAGTCCCAGTTGTGATAGGAGCACTCGGAGCTGTGACTTTCAAGTTGGGGGAGTGGCTTCAACAGATTCCAGGTGGGACATCTGAGATCACTGCCAGAAGGTGCAGTTCTAGGAACAGCTAAATTACTCCACAGAATCCTCAGACTCCCAGGCCTCTGGTAGAGGACACAAGAATGAGGAATAAATATACAACCCACTAGGAGTGAGAAAATCTATTTCTTCTAATTTTTAGTAAGAGGAAATGTAAATTGTAATTTGTAATTTGCTTTGGCAAATTCCACCTCTCCTTTCTAAGGGTTAAATTTCCATGGGATGATCCAGACATAGTGAAAGCTCTACAGGTGAAGTCAGTTGCCAATCACTTGCCTAATCAACAGTGTATGTATGACCAGCCTGAGTCCATTCACTCAGAGTCTGATATTCCAGCCAAGATAGCTGGACTGCTACAAACGGAGATGGACCTGATGCTATGTTACTTTTGTTGTGTTTGTTGGAAAGTGGGAAAGCCATCGAACTATAGAAACTATAGAATACTATGTGTATAGTTAGTGCTCAAGAAAGAGCAATGATTTTTATTGTTTATGTTTTATTTTCCCTTATTAAAGTGTTAAACCTAGAGTTGGAGTTTGTCCTGTGTTATCCTAGAAGACAGTGGTTATTTAAAGATCTTCAGAGGAAAATTAATTATAAAAATGGGAGACACATTTACAGTGCAATTTGAATCAAACACCTTATACCATTGTAAATGTTTATGGCCTAGTGATAGTCCATTAAATTTTTATTGCTCCGAATAACATAACTTACATGGTGCTTTTATACTGGACAGAGATTTAAGATATTATTCCTGAACAGTATACTACAATGTAGTGGGGGCCTAAGACAATTGAGTGAGACACCAAAACTCAAAAATTGTTTAATGGCTGGTAATTCTGGAGATGTTTCATTTACTGCTCTTTTACAGTGAAGAGATATGCTCACATTATAATGTCCCTTGGGGAGGAGGTGAGCAAGTGTTGTGGATCTTTTTACACATCATCCAGTAGAAGAGCCTAGAAAAAAGAAAAACATCATATAAGGCAGCATTATCTATCGCTTCAGCAATGCCTCAAGGGTGAATATTGTTTTACCAAGCATGATATTTTATGTCTGCCAGTTTGCTTACAGAGGTCTGTAGAGGCCAATTATTTTCATATTGGCTATAAAACCATTGGCACAACTATAAGGAAAAAGCCACAAAATATATTTATTTGCGTATGATATGACATTATACTTGCTTTAAGTGATCCCACCAATTATCTATATCTCTTAAATAAGATTTTGGAAGAGATTTGGAGAAATATCCTACTACAAACTGAATTTACACAAAACCCAGTCTTACCTTTTAATATAATGCTTATGAAGTTGACTGATTTAAAACTACAATACCGATTAGAGTGGAAAGAATTGTATAGGTTGTTTTTTGTGTAAATGTAACTAAAAATATATCAGACACTCCCTTAACCTCCAACCTTATCATACCGGATCGAGGGATAACGGAAAAAAACAAAACAAGGGTCCAATCCATCAGTCTACCGAACTGAGGCATTTTTTTCCATCCCTCTACTTGATAGTTCCATCTGCAGCTTTTGCTGGGCCCATAGAGCGGAGCAACACTCGAGAAGACTAGACTACCACAACATAGCACAACAAAAACCAAAGCGCAATTCTCGACCCAGCACCATGTCACACTCGATAAACCATTAAGCAAACACTCCCCGCTTCACAGATGGAACCACTCGCTCCTTGACATCGTGCCCTAAATCCTACCACACGGGTCCCTAGAAGCACCCTAGGACCTACAGCACGATATCTCGAAGCGAAGAAAGACCTGAATGTCTAGTTAACTAGCTTGCCATATGCAGATTCCATTCTCGTTAGAACAACTAGCCATCATAACACACTTTCGCCCTACTAAACCCTACTTAAGGATAGCTAGATATAGACCCTGTTCCCAACCTACTTGAAATGAACAAAATGTTGTTAATCCCCTGTGCGTAACATTGCATACACTACGAAAATGTTTACTGTTACAAATTGTTGTGCAAAATACTGTGATTGATTTAACTTGATAATAAGTATGTTTATTCTTACGCATACATACATGACCTATTGTATTCTACCCGAAAAAACAAAAACAAAGATTGTCAAAAAAAATAAAATAAAAATAAATATATCAGATATGCCTTAAATTTTGAAAGAAAATGGAACTCAATAGGTGGAGCACTTTTGAATTACCATGGCTCGTTACCAACAATTCTATATTTAATTATAGCAATCCCCTTACATTCTCCTTATTCATTTTTTAGAAAGTAAATTCAGGTAATAAGAGATTTCTCTTGAATAATAAAGTAAATAGAATAAACTTATGCTGAGAAATAAGAAATTTGGTGGTTTACATGTTTGCCCGAATGGTACATAATGGATGGAGAAGTGATGTCACCACACTTAATAAAGGAAGTTCTATGGTTACCAACAATTTAAGGATCGGACCAAGTGCATTGGTTCCCCACATGCAAATTAAATGTACAATCATGGACCAAATTGTATGAAACTACTAATCCAAATAATAAATGCTAGTCTAGAGCCATGCCACTACCTGTATTCGGATATCTTAATCCCGATTTAAATATGGATTTGGTAATGTGGTACTCATACTCGACAAAATATTTAAACAATTTTTTCTCCAAAAATGCAGTACTATCATTTGAGAATTTGAAAAACAGATATACATTGAAGATCCTCTGCTTTCACAATACAATCTGATCATAACCAGTGGTGTATCCTGGTTTTGTGCTGCCCTAGGCACCCTCCTCCCCCTGCCACCCCACCCAAGCCTTCGCCCCCGCCCCACCTTCTAAATACACACACACACAGACACACACACACACAGTCAGACACACACGCAGTCAGACACAAACACACACACACAGTCAGACACAAACACACACACAGTCAGACACAAACACACACTCAATCACTCACATTAACACTTTTTTTTTAATTTAACTACCCCCAGCCTCCCTCCCACCATATAATTTATCATCTGTCCCAACAAAAAGATGGAATTCATTCCGGTCTTAAGAATAAGTTTAAAATCTTAGATAGATGGTATCTGGTTTAAACTAGAGTTCATAAAATATTCCCAGGGACATTTGATAGATGTTGAAGAAATTCTGAAAAGGTGTGAACCATAGCTCATATTTGGTGGGATTGCTCTAAATTTAAAACATTTTGGGAATAAATTATTTCTTTGATTCAAGTTGTTACCCCAAATATAACAACCCCTCAATTTGGGATTATTTAAGATGACTCCTACAACATTTCATAGACCTGAAAAAAATGTGATTTTTCATTTATAGCAGCAATTGGTTATTCAGATATATTGGAAATCTCCAACTATTCCAAACAAAAAATAAACAGCTTAGCTTTGATTGTTGAAAATAAAGGTTATAAGATGGTCATGAGACAATCTATGCACAATTGGGACAAGTATGAGATTCATGGGAAAAGACATATAAGGAGGGGCATAACAACTAAATGTAGTTAATGCTTACAATACGAGAATTTATAAACGTTCATTAGGTATGGTCATGTTTTGTCAACCATATTATAATAATGTTTATTTTAAATGTTGAATTTAATCTGTATAAACAACTTGTGATATATACATATAGTGTTCTTCATACATCGAAATGACACCATTAATAGATAAAGTCACATACTATTATTTTCCTTTAGAATATTCTCTTGTATTCTCTTTTTTGTTTCCCTCCCCCTTTTTTTTACTGTTATTTCTTACATATGTTATCCCTCTATATGTTTTTGCTTTATGTTTTTATTAATCATTATATATGATTGTTATTATATCTATAAAATATATTGTTTAATTTTATTAACAATTTCTTAAAATTTGAAAAGAACTATCCATTTTAAAACAAAACCTCTATGAATTTGTCTTAAAGGAACACTATAGTCACCTAAACAACTGTAGCTTAATGAAGCAGTTTTAGTGCATAGACCATGCTTCTCAAGTTTTACTGCTCAAATCACTGCCATTTAGGAATTAAATTACTTTGTTTCTGTTTATGCAGCCCTTGTCACACCTCCCCTGACTCTGATTGACACAGCCTGCATGAAAAAAAACTGGTTTCACTTTCAATCAGATGTCATTTACCTTAAACATGTGTATCTCTTTCTCTGTAAATTGAACTTTAATCACATACAGGAGGCTCTTGCAGGGTCTAGCAAGCTATCAACATAGCAGGAGATAAGAAAATCTAAATTAAACAGAAGTTGCAATAAAGGAAGGATAAACTTTAGATGACTCTTTACAGGAAGTGTTTAGGAAGGCTGTGTAAGTCACATGCAGGGAGGTGTGACTAGGGATCATAAAAAAAGTGATTTAACTCCTAAATGGCAGATAATTGAGCAGTCAGAATGAAGGGACATGATCTATACACCAAAACTGCTTCCTTAAGCTAAAGTTGTTTTGGTGACTATTGGATTATAAACAGATTTCTTAAATTAAAGGGACACTATAGTCACCAAAACAACTTTAGCTTAATAAAGCAGTTTGGGTGTATAAATCATGGCCCTGCACTCTTATTTCTCAATTCTCTACCATTTAAAAGTTAAAACACTTTTTTTATGAAGCCCTATTTACACATCACTGCATGTGACCTGCACAGCTTTCCTAAACACTTTCGGTTTCGGCCCAGATTTTTCATTTCGGTGCATCCCTAGTGACTACAGTGTCCCTTTAAATTATTTTCAACTCTCTAAGTTTCATGACAAGTTATCCTTGAATGATATTTCATTATTTTTTTATTTTAGTTTATGCACCACTCAAAGCAATAGTAATAAAAGTAAAAAACAATGTGGTACAAACTCCAAGTGAGGAAATCCAGGTGTTCTTTCTCATTGCTTCCATCAACTATCCTATTTCTATAGCTGCTGGAATGAAACTGATCTAATTATAGTTTACATTCCTTTAGTATTAAACAAAATATACAATTCATAGCATGCAATGCAATACGGATTAAGGTTAAATTGATGGGAAATTTATGTTGTACAACAGTTTCAAAGTAAATAATATGACATACATGTAAAATTGACACATTATTTTCTGTTCTTTTCAGTTCTCTTACTGTTTGAATAATGTTAATTTGCACACAACTGTATTTTAAGAAAACATACGCAATCAAGAAAATATCGTATGAATAAACCTTGTGAATTTAAATAGTTTTACTCCATAATGTAATCAATATGAGCTGCTTTGTTGAAGTGACTTCTAGCAAAAGCAGTCAGTGGTAATGTGGTTTTTAACCTATATCCTGCTAGCGATGAGTAATCTTTTAACAAGGTACTCTCACCATCTGGGGACATTGTATAATTTGCAAAGACCCCCATTGTTGACAATGGAGCTGTGTGGTCCAGTGCCCGAGGGGCAGGGAAAGGTGAGTTTCCCTCGCGGTGCTGTCATTTTCTTCTGGCCAGTCCTCGTCTGCGCCTGCACATGCACAAGACTACAGCATTAAGGTCTATGGAGGGTCCCATGACATCATTCATAGAACTTGCTAATTCCCTGCAGCCATCACTGGTGATTACTTGGGAATTCACACTTCTAGACGGTGGTAGCTCCGTCCAGTGTCGAAGTGTCAGGCATAGGAAAAATATTGAGACAAAATAGTCCCTGCTTTGTCTCAGTTTATCATTTGACTGGGTTTGAATTTGGAGTGTGAGTGTGTTAGTCAATGCGTGTGTGTTTGCGAGGGTTTGTCAAATCAGTGAGCTTGTATCTCTGTCAGTGAGTGTGTATGTACAAAATGAAATTAGCCGCAGCATTACAAAGTAAACCTCTGTAGTGGTTTTGGTTCCAGGTGTGTCATGGCGCCCTCCCAGAGTAAGCAGTCAAACCGTTTAAGAACCGTTTGACAACTTACCTGGGGGTAGAGTCTGTAACAGGGGATAGGGGCAGTAATGTATGTGTGTGAGTGGTGCAATGTGTGTGAGCGGTGAAGTGTGTTTGTGTGAGGAGTGCAGTGTGTGCGGGGGGCCGGATGCGTTTGTGTGTGAGGAGGTAGTGTGTGTATGTGTGAGGGGGCAGTGTGCGTATGGAGGACAGTGTTAGTATAAAGGGCAGTGTGCGTATGGAGGGCAGTGTGTAGGTGTCACAGGTGCAGTGTGTGCATGGGGCAGTGTGTGTATGGGTGCAGTATGTGTGTGTGTGGGGGAGTATGCAATGTGTGTATGGGGCAGTGTGTGTGTGTGTATTTGGGGAAGTGTGTGTGTATGGGGCAGTGTGTGTGTGTATGTGGGGCAGTGTGTGTGTATGGGGCAGTATGTGTGTTTGTGTGTGTATGGGGGAGGCACTATGTATTTTGAGGGGAGGGGGCAGTATGTATGAGAATGTGTAGCTTAAAGAAAATATATAAAGATATTTTTCATTAAAATAATACTAATACTTTATATCCCCCTGTAACAGACACCCTATGCTCTGGCTGAGTCTGTTATGAAGCTCCCAAGTCCCAAGCAAAATAGTGATTATAGCTCCCAAGTCCCCAAACATCAGCCTAGATTTGGTGAAGGAGTAAAACGAATCTGTTTAATCGGGGCTCAGTGGCCTACTTTTATACAGTACAGAGACACAGTAAACACGCCCAGGACACTCCCATAACCACACCCACAAAATGTCCCCAAATTGCAGTGTCACCATGACTAGGCAATAATTACACAAAATTTGAAAATACATAAAAACACATATTAAATACATAGGAACCCCCACAAATATTACATTCCGGATAGCCTGGATCTGAGCACCCAAGTTGTCCAAATAGCGCTCAGATCCCACGAACACAGCTGAATCGCCACCGGGGTAAAGTTTTGACCGACCGCTCATGAGGCATCTGCCCAAAGTAGTTCTTTAGTTTTAGAGGTAGCGGTCGGTGAATTTTGGGAGTTCCAAAATGTATAAAAATGTGAACGGTTCCCCTGGCTCATAGGTAGTGTTTGTTCGTCAAGTCCATACGAACAAACCTACCGAACAGCACTCTCCTGGCTCGTCACGGAAAGAAGCAGGCGTTTGCATGGCTTCACTGATGTTCGTGCCGTCAAGTGTCTGTCTTAGAGTTCCAGACACTCGACGACCAAGTCCCGCTGCCTGCGTTCGTGCGTCAAGATGGCTGCCTTTTTCTCCACCATGTGGCGTTCGGTTATACAAACAGCGGCCACACAGAGAGAGCACTTAATTCTGTGGTTTCTATGTACTTAATGAGCCAGGGGGTGGTTAGTGTTCAGTAGTTTATTATACCAAATGCAGGGAAAGCATAAACGAAGTCTAAGAGCCCAATCAGGGAACTGAGGAAGAGAACAGCTCCGGGGTAGGCAAAATAGTGGGTTTTGTCACACCCCACTCCCTTCTTACCTTAACTGAGGGAGGCGTGATATTTTCTGCAATTCCTGGTGGTCCGGTGGAGAAGCCCTGGTGGTGCTCGTGGTGAGTGAAGTCTAGCCTGCAGCTTCTGAGGGAAGGTGAGAGCATCGGCAGTGTCATTGTCAAACCTGAGATCCAAATAACCAAATACAGCTTAAATACCCTAGTAATTACACCAATAAGTGCAAGATCCACCCCTACAAGGAGCCAATTAATTTGATACAAAAGTATACTCTGAAAAGATACAAGATACCACACTGAAAGAAAGAAAAACATGGAAAAGTACCATAACGACTTTGTGCACAATAGATGATCCATATGAAGTACAGCTTCTTCAAAAACAGCATTATCCTTAGAAGCAAAATTAATTACTATTTACAGCATTAAATAGATAGTTCTGGATACATTATTAGGCAGTTATCATTTACATAATGCAACAGAATTGCCACATAGGAAAAAAGGGCGCTTATATAACAAACAGGAGAAAATAATGACATGTCGCATGTAGATATGGTAATAGAAAAAAGGGGAGAGATTAGAAAATAGTTAAAACAAGTATATATACTAAAAACCTAGATGCAGTTATACTCAAGATTATAAAAATAGGGTAAAATCGAAATCACGATTAAGGCTTTTGGGTTAAAGTGGCACCTATCACATTCGACTGTGTCCCAAAATCACTGTCTTTGATTGAGGGGGATGGGTAGCAGGTCACACTTGTTGATATTCTGCACAGCGTACTCTATGGGAAAGCATTGGACTCGCCAAAAATCGGTCATTTTGATGATGTCACAAAGGGGGCAGAGCCAGCGCCGGCAGACCCGCGTGACGCTGGAAATAAGGTGAGTTTTAAACTTTTATAAGGGGGCTAATGGGAGGGGGGGGGGGGCAAGCCACCTGAATGATGGGTTAAACACTATAGGGTCAGGAATACATGTTTGTGTTCCTGAAACTATAGTGTTTAACAAACAGATTGAATTGAGTTTTTTTTTTTTTTTTTAGACAAACCAAAATTATGCAATCTAAAAGGTGTAGTAGGCACTTCTTTGCAAGCATTAATATCCTGACAATATGATTTAAAGGGTCCTTTCAATCTTAATTTTGGACGAATTTTAAGAAGTCAATCCGCATATTGACATCAAAGATGGGCACACTAGGGCAAAATGACAATCCCCAAGAAAGGAGTTTTACCTCAGTGGTTGATAAATTATAGTCAGACAGGTTAAATACCTCTTCTGTCTGTTCATCGGGAGCCATGCCTGTCATCTCTGAGCTGACCTCTGGTATCTGTTTTAAGCATGTGTGTTTATTTCCCTCTCTTCTTGTTTTTTTTTCCAGGTTGGGGAGGAGTCCAGTCGAACCCCTAAAAAAGCAGATGTATGCATTGATTTTCATCCAAAAAAGCAGTTTCAGAGGTGTGTGAAGTTGGTACGGAGGAGTCATTTTTCTGTTTCTCTGATATAGGCTCACGAAGGGGACCGCGACAGTGTGGACGGTCCGACTCCCAGGCCTGCTGCACTCTATGCTCTCTGTAGACCCAGCCCCTGGCAATTTTAAAGCCTTTTTGGATGGTAGACTTGTGAGCCTGCATCTACGCTATCTACTAGGAGTACTGGATCTCCAATTGCATCCACAGTGAATGCCTGTTAGTGAGTATGTGTATGTCACTCAGTGTATGTATATTTGAGAATGTGTATCTGTCAGTGAGTGGGAGTGTCAGTGTGTGTCTGTCAGTGAGTGGGAGTGTCAATGTGTGTCTGTCAGTGAGTGGGAGTGTCAGTGTGTGTCTGTCAGTGAAAGTGTGTATTGGTTAAACAGTGTGTGAGCCGAGTGTATGAGCCAATGACTGTGTGTCTGTCAGTAAGTTATGTCTATCCGTAAGTGTATGTATATGCATGAGGATGTGTGTCTGTCAATAAAAAAGTGCGTTGGTTAAGTAGTGCATGTATGGGTAAGTGAGAATGTGTGTACTTAAAAGGATGAGGTAGTAAGAGGTGGAGCTCTAAGAGGAAAATATGGAGCCTAAAGATATGTGAAATCTACAGAAGAAGTAACGGTGGAACTACTGCTAAGTAAACAGGTCAGGTGCTGCGGCCCTCTAAAACCACGACCCATCACTTTCTCCCAGTTTCATACAGAGAGCGTCACATAAGAGGGAGGAGGCAGCAGTGGGCAGTAAGCTGCTGCAGACCCACATGAGCCTCAGCCAGCAGCAACCCAAAAACATCACCCTCCTGCAGATAAATTGTAAGAGGGTGGCTACAAATATAACAAATTGTGATCTGTCAACACCAGCACTAACATGCTGGTGTTGACTTGCTTTTTTAGAATAAATTTATACAGATGATGTATGTATGAAAAACACAATGCTGACTTCAAGCCTTCATACAGAACGGGCATTTTAAACAAGGAATTGTGACATCTGTCTTTGTTTCCAATCATATTTTCTTACTTCTGAAGGGGTAAAAACAAGCTGCACATTTTCTTTACAGGAACTGGGAAGCTCCTGTTTTTTTTAATTTGTTGTTTTATTTTTTTACTATGGGAGTTTATTTACTAAACCAGGAAAGATTCAGACCAAATTTTGCAATTAATATATGAATTCTCTACAATCTTTGGTTAATTGAATAACCTTTTATGTGAATTAAACTCTGTCACTTGTGAGGTTTTTGAAATTGAAAAGAGACTTTCAGATGCCTGAGCCCCACAGTAAGGAAGCAGGTAATTCTTCTGCCTCTAATGCCAGGTCACTGAATATGTCGATGTAGTATATGTACCTGCACTGCAAACCCATCTTTATAAACTTACTATGTTGTATAACTTCTTTTGCCACTTTGCAAACAATGTAATTACATGACCCACCATTGTGACTTGTTAAAAGAGTTAAATCGTTGGAATCCAGATGCACTCTTCATCTTTCCAGCCTTGTGCTTAAGAGCTTTTCTGGTAAGCTCCCACCTTATCTGAGTAGAATGCTCTCCCCAGCTGTCCCACCTCCTATAATCTTAGATTCAGTACCAGCACTTTATTTAGTCTACCACATTACAAAAAAAGAAAGTAGCGCAATCCTCATTTTGCTACACAACACCGCAAGTATGAAACAACATCCCGGACCAAATTATATCTTCCTCCTTATTTCTTACCTGTTCTGTGTTAATTGTATGTGTGTATTAAAATATTACTTTGTATTTTTAATATTATACTGTGTATATTAACATTACTTAATATTATGCAGTACCCGAATATAACAATGCAATGTTTTGTGGGCCCAGGACATACTTGAAAACAAGAGAAATCTCAATGTATCTTTCCTGGTAAAATATTTTATAAATCACTAATTACAGTGGGACCTTGGTTTATGAATTTAATGCGTTCTCCGGGACATTTCTAATTGCGAAAAATTTGTAAACTGAAACACGATTTCCCATAGGAATGCATTGAAAACCAATTAATCCATTCTGGAGGTCAGAAAAAAGTCAAAATGAGCTGGCATGGAAACCAACCCACAATGCAGAACACACAATAAAAGTCATGCAAACGGCAAAGCTCAGCTCCCTACCTTTCCACAGCTTGAGAAATGCACAAAAAAAGTCCCAAAACATCTGCAAACAATTTCCAGAATGGCTCCAAAACTCGATGCAAAAGCCACTCCAACACCTCCACACTCGACGCCACGTGCTACCCACAGGCTCCAGCATGCAGGGAGCGGTGCTATAAACCTCCCAGGTGCAATGCATCCTGGGGAAACTTGCTTTGTATTGCGAAAAAAAGTTTGTAAACCAAGGCATTATTTTCAATGGATTCTCATTTGTAAACCGAAAATTATGTTAACCGAGGTGTTTGTAAACCGAGGTCCCACTGTATGTGTAAAAGCCTAAACTACATACAAACACACCCCTGCATTTCAATGGCAAGAGTACATACAAATATAACCACTACATGCACACGCATACTCAATACAAAAACATGCTTACATTCAAATGCACAAACAGTGCTCACAAATACAACCCAGTAAGGGTGGGCAATTATTTTTGGATAATTATTTAAAATTTAAATAGACAGAGGAGCAATTTTGCTCATGCTTAAATGTGATAGCATCTCGCTGGACTTGACAAGACTAGACACTAGGACAAATCTGAGACATACAACACAGAGATCGGAGTAATTGAACAAAGTTAAACGAAAACTGCAAATGCGTTACACTTGCTGAACCATATACCTTTTAAAGATGAAGCAATGAGTGCCAAGCCCCAGTCAGCAAGAATTTAAAAGGTTTCATGATCCAAGCAACCAGCAGGATAGTTTGACAAGAATTAAATAGAAGATGCAAGAAGGAGGTAACAAGGCACCAATTTTGGAAAAGGGGAGAAAAAGACAGCAACAAAATACAGTTGTCAAACTAGAATTGCTGCATCATCTGGTACAAAATCCCGATGTTTCATCAATTTTTTTTTACTGTCTGTCTGCTTGTTGGAAAATAGTATAATGGCCCTGAGTCATCATTTTTTTTCATGGTTAAAAAAAATAAAATCTATCCATTACGTACCCTCACTACACAAATACTTCTCACCAGATAATATTCAAAATATACCTTAGATGTTCTTAAACTACTCAGAGACATCTTACATAGGCATGTTACACCTACCCTCATTACAGTACTTTCAACATTGAATAAAAAAAATGCCCTCTAGAACTCAGAGCTGTATATTTTCAATGCTGATGATTTATGAATGTTTATGAAAGAAAATAAACTATAACAAAAATGTTCTTGTAACTAAATGTTATTTTACGCGTGACCCGCTTTTCTTCTGTAACTATGCACTCAAGTTGCCTTAGATCTGAAATATCCTCTACACATCACCGGAACTGTCAAACGAGGAACTACTGGAACTGCTGTCACTAAATTTGAAATGCTGGCTGCAACATTTAATTCAAAATCCACTCTCGCATCTCAATGTAAATTTTGCAAGATTTCATTATTTGCACAGGGCTTTGATTTATGCAACTGGAAACAGATGGTAACCTGAAATGCCACTAATTAATTGCACATGCCTCCAGCTCTGAAGAGGTTAAGGCAGTGCAAATATGTGTCCAGTGATTGAAATAGGATGAGTTTGGAATTGTACATTTTTTTGGTTGAGAAAAATGCCACCCGGAGACTATTTATGAAGTGGTAGATCTGTCTACTAAATAAAATGTGCTTGCCTTTGATGATATTTGTTAGCTGCAATTTATACTCGAAATTATTTATAATCCAAATCAAAGGAAGTATTTGAACATAAACCGCAATAAGTGGGAAACCAGAATAAAATATGTAAACTTCATCTTTAACATGTAAACAGTCAAATATTACTGTGCAGTGAAAGGGTGTACATATAAGTTGCAGTGAAATAACATCTGACAGTGCTCAGCTAAGTGCATGCACTTCACTAACTCTGCAATAAACCCTCACCCTAAGAGAGAATTACATTTGGATCCATTGAAATTCTATAGCAGAGAATCTCTTTACTTGAGCAGAGGATTAAATCAAGATAAGTGTCTCTGCCCAGATGGGACTTAGGGGAAGGAAGGCAACATTTGTACGCAAAAGGCCTTTATGTGCACACGTGCACAGCTCTCTCAGTGGAAGGTCCTACTCATAAAGTTTGTGCAATGTATGGCTTTGACAGATGGAGTTCGCTAGAATTGTTTTGTGTGACATGTGCCTACAACCAACTGTGCGCTAAGGCAGAATGGGCACATGGCGTGTGCCTACTCTGCCCGAATGTGCTGTGTCTCGGGGAGGGAATGAAGACAGGTGGCGAAGCAGCGCTGATGTCTCTGCTCTTCCAGTACTGCTCCCTTGCACGCAATGCAATGATGTCGGGAACCAGGTTATGACATCGCTACGGCCCCAGTATCACAAAACAGCGTGCTAGGGAGCAGTGCTGGAAGACCCACACTGGACCCCAAGAAAAGGAGTAATAATGGATCCTAGGGAAATTATGCACTCCAGCTCTCCCAAAAGTAGGGAGGCCGGGTGGACTTAAATTAAGATAACACATAAATGTTAAATGTGTGAATGTGTGTGAGAGAATGCGTGTTTCTGTCAATGAATGTGTGTGTTTCTGTCTGTGAGTGGGTGTGTCTGTCAGTGAATCTGTGTGTGTCTTTGTCGGTGTGTGCCAAATCAGTGAGAATATGTTTTAGTGAGTCTGTCTGTAAGTGAATGTGTGTGTCTGTAAGTGTCTGTTAGTGTCTGTCAAATCAGTGAGAGTGTGTCTTTCAGTGAGTGTGTTTGTGTCAGTGTCCTCTAAGTGTAAATTTGTGTGTGTCAGTGTAATCTATGTATATGTGTGTGTGTCAGTGTCCTCTGTGAGTAAATGTGTGTAATTATCCTCTGTGTGTAACTGTGTGTATCAATATGTGTGTTTTCAGTGTCCTCTATGTGTAACTATTATGTGTGTATTAATTACTTTCTCGAGGCAGGGGTACTTAGGATTTTTTTTAGACCGGCAGGGTACTTTTCTATAAAAAGATTGAAAACGACTGTGCTACATCACACCCTTATGTTGCTGTGAGGCTGTGACTCACAATCTCTGCATGGTAGTAGCTCAGAAGGGGCAACTGCATTCCTGAAGCTTTTGTCAGCTCTCACTGTACTGAACTTAATTTCCTAAACTGAAAAATCAAGTTTAGGCATTATTGGATTAAACTTCCAGGAAACAGATGCAAACTACCATCAAGGTAATTCACTAAACATGAATTATCACGAATTATTCAGGAAATGACAAATTTTAGGCTTAATTTAGCTATTTTTTAAAAAAAATTCTTTATTTTTATTGTGCATATATGAACAGCATGCGTGCAGAGCCACAACAGCAACTGCAAGCGTTGTCATAGCATTTCCGAGTGTGGCAGTTTAAACAGTACTTTTTTATATAACATGGAGAACATAAGACAGCAATATTTTATAGTAAACATGCTAGACTCCATATTATGCATATGCTCAGGCAAGTTATGCTTAAAGTTATGGTAAGGTGTGTAGCATAGCATTTGAGAAGGAGATTTTTATGTTTGAGTCAATGATAGCTCGGTGTTAAATGTAAATTTAAACCAACAGTATTTCCGCAATTTTTAAAAAAAGTTGGGCTGCCCCATTAGTTGTCCTAGCTGATAACACAATGCATGAGCACAAAAACTCTGCGCAAAATAAAAGAATAACAGGTTAAGGACTATTAGAAAGAAGGAACAGAGGATATAGAGTGTTGGAAAACAACCAATACCCTAGACTCTGCCTAGAGGTTACCAGGGGAATAGGGGGCTTAACCCCAGGGGAAGAAATAGACAAAAAAGAAGAAAAAATAAGCCAGGAAACCACCAAACATACAAATATGAAGGTAGAAACCTGCTCATTCTATACCCCTAAAGTAATTGTACTTGTCTTAAAGAGGGGAGAGTTCAAACACAGAAAAATAAGGAAAAAGAAGAGGAGGGATAACGTGGGTATTGTACCTTTAATTGAACAGGGGATACACATAAAATAAAATAATGAAAAAAGAATCGCACTGGCTCTTTGTATGGCCAGACGGGAAGTATCCCTTGTAAAAATACATATAGGGAAGTGAGGTTAAACCTCACAAATATTGAATCTAAGCTAACACAATTGTAAAGTATCGAGGACCAAAAAAGGCAGGTCACTAGAGTAATATAGGTTAATTACAAGTGTAGGTTAGACTTAGAAAATAGAGCTGCCAGAAATCTGGTCTTAGCCAATAAATCCTGCCAGAAATCTGGTAGATAGGCAGGGGGGTATTGCAGATAGAGATATAAAAGTAGAATAAGCCTTGATAGTACAGGTACCCCTAAAGGGGAGCACAGTAGTTGCTAGTGCAGGTTAGTAGGTAGAGCTATGCAGAGGATTAGTCTAGGAAAGTGCCCACCTGAGCATAGAAAAGCATACAGATACTTGTAGCTTATTATCAAGAGCAAAAGGCCTCCAAGCAATGGCCTGTCCGTAACTAAAATAGCCCTGCACACACTAACTGACTCCCCTGAAATACAGGGTAACTAAGTACAATACCTGCTGCTTCAAGGCAGCCTAGAGGCTATCCCTATCGCTTAACCCACTCACTGCCCAAATAAACCCTCAAAGGAGCATCAGAAAATAAATGAATAAATAAATAAATCAAAAAAGAAGAAAAAACAAAAAAAGAGATGAATTAAATAAGGTAAAATGAATGCATCGGCATTCTGGAATGCTCGACGCGCGTTTCGGCGTGAAAGAACGCCTTTGTCAAGAGCTACAAAGTGTCTGCCTACCTGGCCGCGTTAAGAAGGGAGGATCGGACCGCCTCTAAAAACCTATCAGCCAATCACCGGCCTTCAGGCCAGACCCCCTAAACGTATTATTCCAATGTCCAATCAAACTAAACAAAAGAGGGAGGGGAGGGAGAGGGGAGGGAGCACTGAAGGACGTCGGTCCACGTGGGTGGCGGGCGTGTAATTCGCTTAGCCGCAACAGTGAGCCAGCCTCCAAAATAACGTCATGCCTATTATTACCAATGCTGAATTGAACAGTGCAGAGAGGGCGTGATGGAACTCCCAGGATAATAGAGACACATAGATTCTATCAAAACTGCATAAGCAATTATAAGTGGAATGTAAATAACAGTATATACACAATGTGTCACCATGGACTCCCCACAGCTCAAAACAAATCTAGAATGAACTTCTCAGTAATCAGTACGGAAGATAGACATTGTAAACTGGTATTGAATGTGGCTAAAATAGCCTTAAAATGTAACATTTGTACAATGTGATCAAATTCATCAAATTCACTGAGAATATAAGTAAACTAAACTTGAGGTGCTTATTGGTTGTGGAATTGGTAGAGTTCAAAAAGGGGCATACTTAGTGAACAACTGAATGGAAAGATAGGTACTGAATGTTTATTAGGTAGCAGGCTAAATGTTGAATCCTTTCCCTAAAGAAGGGATACACAGGAGAAAGGCCAGCATTTAAGGGAGACCACTCATAAAGTAATCCTAGGAAATAATAAATAAATAAATAAAAATGAAAATAATAAATAATGAAAACAACCAAAACAACATCAAAAAAGAAGAATAAGAAAAAAAGAGAAAAGAAAACAATAATAATAATGATGAAAACAAAATAGGAAAAGAAGCAGAATAGTGTGTGTAAAAAATACCCTCAGTGAAGTATATAAGTACAGAAAAGCATCACATTAGTGGTAAAAAACAGCACAACATGGCCTAAAGAGATATTGAGAACCCAGATCGTAACTTAGAGAGCGGCTATATATAAGGTTCAAGATTAAATATCCCAGGTTACTCTCAATTTAGCAGACATAAGGAACACTCGGAGAAAATAAGGTATACCCGTATTCTCATACAGAGTATACCCATATGTAGAATCAAATAAAAGGGGAGAATGAGAAGCCTTCATTGAGGCCACGAGGGTGTAGAGTATTAAGTTTGTATATCCATCTACATTCCCTCTGACGCAACATTTTATCGAAGTCACCCCTTCTAGGTTCACGCTTAACCAGCTCAAGACCGCAGAAACGTATATTATTAGATGAGCTCTCATGAAGTTCTTTAAGATGTCTAGAGATGGGAGTCTCTATGCGATTTTTAGTGCATCTCACATGTTCTTTAATGCGCTCTTTAAAGGGCCTAAATGTCTTCCCCACGTACATCAATTTACAGCTACACGTGAGGAGGTAGACCAACCCTGCTGAGTTGCAGTTAAAGAAATGTGCAATCTGGAAAGATTGTTTTCCTTCACTATCCTTAACTTGTTTAGAATCCCTTAGGATAAATTTGCACACTACACACCTTCCACATTGGAAGGTGCCCACTGGTATTTGACGTCCCAGCCAAGTAGTCTGCAGGTTCTGTTTGCAGGAAAAATGACTGGGGGACAGCATGTCACGGAGGTTTTTTCCCCTCCTAGCTGTAATGGTGACTCGTGGACCCAGTACTTCTTTCAAGTGTGAGTCTCTAAGGAGGATAGGCCAGAATTTCTGAAATGACTCTTTTATTACATTCCACCCAGTATCAAATGTGCCAATCATCCTGATAGTTTTATTGCCAGAATTGGCATTAGATGAGTCAGACAAAAGGTCAACCCTGTCCGTCAACAGTGCCCTTTTATAGGCTCTCTTAAGGCATTTGTTTGGGTAGCCTTTGTCTTTAAATTGTTGGCGCAGGGACTTGGCCTTAATTTGGAAGCCTTAATTTGGTTAAGGACTATTACTGTGCTGTGCGTTAAGCTAGTGTGCAGAGAACAGTTCTTGTATTAGGGGGCATGGTGAGGAAGTCCAGCTGTGGTGAAATATGCCTGGCAGACTCCGGTTTCTTTGCCTCTGTTCACCCGATCCCCTCTGGGTGCCAGCTACAGTCCCCCAGAACCCTTGTCACCTGGAGTGTTGGAGGCATGAAGATGAGTAGGTGCCAGGCGTCCAGCAGGTGTTGGCGGAGGTTTACATTGTCGGGGGGTCGTGCTGCCCTGCTGGGCAAGGTGCTTCCGTTCTGGTTCGGTGTTGTGGTGAGTTGGGGTGAGGGTGGATGTTAGGTGTGGGGCAAACTTTTCGTTTCTGCCTGTGTCGCCGGTCCCGACGTCTGCGCCTCTTTAAGGAGCCGCCATCGGTTGTCATTCTGCTTCCGCCCTGAAGGCATGAAGGTGCAGTAATAGCCTGTTTGACTGGAACCGTGTTCAGCTTCCTCAACAATATCTTGGCCCAGAAGGCAGCGAAAATCTCGTTGAGCTTTGTAAGTGAGTTAGTCGCTGGGTCCCCACAGGCCCTCATGCCTCCCGGCTGGCGCGTGGCATCCACCATTTTGGGATTGGTGATTCTTGGCTCAAGCAGGCCTTGGGACGTGGGTCTCTGCCTTAATGCTACCGTTGGTGCCGGGATATCCCTCACTGGCGGGGGTGGGGGGGAGGGAGGCTGGTGGATGGTCTTCTGTCGCTTCGAGATCTGCTTCTAGGGGGCTCCAGGCTGGGTGATCGGACGCCTCACCCGTACCCTCGCCTCTTCCCAGGCTGCAGATCGGGTCGGTTAGCGCTGCAGTAGGCCTCAGTGATGTAGCCCGCGTTTCCCGTGTCTCAGCCGTTCCTAAAACGTCTTTAATTTAGCTATTTTATCCAAAAGGTTGTGATTTCTCTAAAATTTCAGGTTTAGTAAATAAGGGTAACCTTAAAAAAAATGAATTGATAATCTAGGCAAAAAAGCTGATTTGGAAAGGAAAAATCCTCCAACTTTAGACACAATTTGGCTATTTTAGCTTGAATTTTGAAATTCAACTTTCAACTGACTTCTATGGATTACTTAGTAAAATATTAACCCTGGTCTTTTTACCATTAGCAGACATTAGCCACTAGATGGCAGTAATACATGTTAATGTTTCATGCTATGTTCTTGCAGTGGATACAAAGCAGAACCTTGCTGTATATTAAATAATTTGACAGATGTGTGTTTATTGTTTTGCATTCTTTCACTTTGTGATGGCAAATAAAATTAAATATGCTACAATTGCCTCTATTAAAAACAGAAATAATATTTCTCTGGCTTGACAAAAAAAAGCAGAAATGCTAATAATATACCTTTTTTCGAACATAATGGGGTTTTTTGACTAAACACTAAAAACTAATATTGGAAAAAGCTCTAGATCTACTATAATAACAGCTTGGCAATTTTTCCTTAAAACTTTTCCATTCGGTTTTTCGATTTAATATAAATTTTGTGTTTATTCACTTTATACCCTATAATTTGGTAGTCGCATCTATTATTCTTACTTGACTTTATTTGGCCTGCCCAGCACTACCAAAATTTACAGTGTCTGTTTGTTCCATGTTATGTAGATAGCTGAAAAAATGTAAACCAGGAGTTGGACACTACACTACTAGGCTATATGACTAAAAGGCAAAAATCACGACTGTTGCCATCTACATTCCATTACTTATATTATTAAGTAGTTCCTACTTTGTCTGTTTGTTTGTTTGTTTTTTCCAATTTTTATTGTTTTGTATAAGTTGAGAATAAAAATATAATGGGTGGTACAAAAGAGAAAAGGGGCAGAGGTAAATGGGGGTACAATAGACAATTTTCCACAAGGTACAATATCATAACATATCATCACTTGCAGGAATATGAATCAATGACTTTTATGCTTTCTAAGATTTTCAAGTATTACTTTACATGTCTGTATAGCACTGTACGTACAATTCTGTAGTTAACAAACACACCGTATGTGGCTAACAGACACACATCAGGTATCATCGGGTAATATTCAGAGATACACTACAGGGACATGCATCAGAAAAATATACATCCCCCTTTAACCAGGATACCTCGCTTAGCGTACTTCCTGAGTTCATGGAGCTATGCTTTTGGGAGCTACAAGCTATGTTTCTTTATGTCTTTTCTTTGTCTAGGTCTGATACCAGTGGGCAGGCCTATGAGTCAAATGTTTGTCACTCTATGGTATTTACTCATGTCGAGGAGGTAGTTATGACAAAGCAATAGTTGTTTTTGACTTGTGGTGTTAGTGTGCATTTACAACACATCCTCCTCTAGCTCATGTGTGTGTGTAAATTTGATTTGGGGTCTATTGAGTGTTGAGATGCGTAGGGAAACAGAGAATCCATAAGGGTAAGAGGTCACAATAGGCCTAAGGAGGCGGGAATCTTTCCCAACTATGTACATGTGGGTTTTTGTGCTTACATGTTAGGTGCCTCTGAAAAACAGTAAACAGTTTCATTGTGGATAGTAAATGTTCTGAGGCACGTTTCAGTTGGTGGTCTGGGTGGGTTAGTCTTCGTCCCATAGGAACGAGCAAGCCTCCCATAGAGGCAAGCCTTTCACCCCTGTGGAGAGCAGCTTACCAAAAGTGAAAGAAGCTTTAAATGATATGGACTGGTCGTCATCTCCAATGAATCTGTATGTGTGGTCTCGTCAGCCGCCAGAAGGATAAGTCTCATGGGGTTGTTTTTTGTTTTTTTTCCTTCCCTCCCTTCTCCTCTCCCTTTCTATGCAGTCCCAGCTTCTAGTGACAAGGTCAGCTCTGATTTGTGTGCATGCCATTACCTTATAGTCCCAATTTGTTCCTATTTGTTTTATAAGTGCCTCTCTATTCGGAATCTCTACTGATTTCCAATTCCTCGCTATCATGGTATTTGCTGCGATTATCATTGGAAATAGAAGCTACCAATCCAAGGGCCCATAGTATCTGAGCCCAATAAATAACAGACACAGACCAGGTGATAGGGTACACTCCCCAGACATGGTCCCATCAAGGACCTCCTGCACCATTTTCCAGTAGCATCTAAGTTTATGGCAATTCCACCATACATAAAGCAATGTGCCCACCTGTCTCCCACATCTCCAGCAGACATTTGAGGTACCTGGATACATGAGCCAGCCTCTCTGGCACATAGTACCACCTGTATTGAAGTTTTCTTATTAATTCTATGTGTGGCATTCACGCTGTTTTACCTTTGTGGGTCAGAAATGCTTCTTGCCATTGTGTATCGGTGAGCTCCGTATCAAGATCTTTGTGCCACTCTTTCATAAATATATGCGGTGGTGATATGTTAGATGCTATGAGATTGTTGTATATCAGGGATAGTGCTTTCTTCTGGGCATTGGGATGGATGCACAAGTTCTCTGTCTTTGATATATTTGGCTGTGTTATTGTAACTGGATGTGTTTGAAGGTAGGAAAAGAGGACCCTGTTAGGTAATTTGAACTGGGTTTAGAGGTCAGGGAATGTCTTTAAAGAAGTGTTGTCGTATAAGTGATGCAGATGGGTGCATCCATGCCGATGACATGTACCATAGTCGAACGAGGGATTGGTAATGTGTAGGCTTTGTATGGGAGTGGCCATTGAATATGTCTCTCGTCCAGTCAGGTGTTTATAATATTTGTCCCACATTTTCAGAGTCAATTTTGTGCTGTCAAGGAGCTCCAGGTTTTTCGGTCTCGCTTGTTTTGGAACCCAAAACAAGAGGTGTATCCCATGTCTAGGGGATCAGCAGGATTCCATCTCCACCCACAGAGGGATTTCCCTTGTTTTATGAGATGATATTACAGAAGCTAATATTGCAGCATTGTGGTAGGTTTTTAAATTGGGTAGGCCCACCCGTGTTAATTTGTTCACTACTTTTTGTATTGCCGTGGTATACTGTATCGCTAGTGGGATTTGTAATGTGCGTATTAGATGCTGATACTTAGGTAATAAAAACATTTTAAAAGCAGCACTTCTACCATGCCATGACAGAAATCCCTCCTCCCAGGATTTCAAAGTTAGAGTTATTTCTTTCAATAGTTTACCATAGTTCTGATCTAAGAGGTCTCGTGGTAGTCTGGTTATACGGATCCCAAAAAAGGTGACATGATCCTCCATCCAATCAAAGGTAAAGTTCCGCTGGAGGGATTCACTGTGCGATCTAGGTTTAGGCCTTCTGCTTGAGTTTTGGTAACGTTTTGGTAACGTTAAGTTTATAATAAGAGTGGGAGCTATATTCATCAATCTCTCTTAGGAGGTTTGGCAGTGAGATTCGTGGTTGTGTCAACGTCAACATTATATCATCCGCGAACAAATTAGTTTTGTATTCCCTAGATCCTATAGTTACTTCATGAATGGATCTGTCCGGATTACCGTGAGAGGTTCTAATGCCATAATGTATAGGAGAGGGGATAATGGGCACACCTGTCTGGTCCCGTTGGTGATACTGAAGCGTTCTGATAGAAATTGCATTGAGTACATTCTCTGCAAAGGCAGAGTATAGGGCTCTGACTGTAGATAAAAATATGTCTGGCAACCCCCAAAAAATATGTCTAGCCCATCAAATGCTTTTTCCATGTCTAAAGATAACAGGCTTGCCTTTTGTCTGCTGTTTTTGAGATTTTGCATTATATTGAGAAATTTTCTTGTGTTCTCGGCCCCCTGTCTTCCTTTTCAGAATCCCACCTGATCATTATGAATGATGGTCGGTAGGATAGGTTGCAGTCTGAGTGCAAAGAGTTTTGCGAAGGTCTTCACATCTGAGTTTAAGAGGGATATTGGTCTAACATTTTGAGGACAGGTTGGAGGTTTACCAGGTTTTGGGAGAGTCACTATGTGTGCTAATAAGATATCTGATGGGAGTGACAAGTTTGTGGTGGCCTTATTAAAAAAGTAGCTAGTTACTGCGCCAGTATAGGTCTGTCTTGTGTTTCAAAGAAAACTAAACCAGAAATTAAGAAAAGAAGAACAGATTCTGAGAGAGGAAGAGAAGAGGCAACAATAGGAGAAAGGTACAGACAGTGTGGCTTTAAGATACGTGATGGTCTAGCGTTACATATATTCAGTTAACTCCTTTATGAATGACAGCCTCCACATATTGTATTTATTTCTTGGCTGCTATTAATTACTTCATTCAACAAAATGTCCAACTGGCGCAAGTCTGCAATGCAGCTTCATTATGCTATATATAGCACAAATGGACTAATAATTACAAAGTTCATGGTTATACTTCAATAGCATTTCACTGCCAGTAATCGAAGAACAGGCTTACGGAGATGTGACAAATCATAGTGTTTCACTTGTTAATTTGAATTGGTGGTAAATTGAAAACTGACTTGCAACATTTAAGCCAGAATTGCAGACTTGGATTGGACACATGTCAGGAGCAAGGGAACTTCCAGTCCCAGCAGTAGATTATTAATTACATCAGCACATGGGAATCTGTGCTTTTTTACCTTAGTTACCATTTAAGCTTGATGTGACACTCTGACTTCTCTGTAAATGATATCATTGAATAACACATGGAAATTCCCTTATAAGGATATTTTTTTTTTTATATGTGATGCTCCATTTCTTTTAAAATGTATATTAAAAAATTAGCAAGTACCTCATAATCCAGTTCAGGGCACCCAATGCAAATTAGGAAGGAAACAGAAACATTGTTTCAATTTCTATTCTTCTACTAAACTTGCTCATTGGCAGAAAATGGCAAGATTTGCTATTAACCATGATTGACATGAAGCCAAGGTGGAAGTGCCCAATTCCAGAATAGCAGTGTGGATTTCTACATTTATATGTATTTTAGACCCTACAAAATCATTTTTATTATACATAAGGTATAAGGGTCCAGGCCGCCCATGACCACACTGGAGAAATGGCTGAGATAGACATAGCATTACTGTTCCTTAAAGGAAAACTATAGTGCCAGGAAAACAAACTAATTTTCCTGGCACTGTAGCTTCGCCTTCTGTCAAGTTAAAGGGACACTATAGTCACCTGAACAACTTTAGCTTAATGAAGCAGTTTTGGTGTATAGAACATGCCCCTGCAGCCTCACTGCTCAATCCTCTGCCATTTAGGAGTTAAATCCCTTTGTTTATGAACCCTAGTCACACCTCCCTGCATGTGACTTGCACAGCCTTCCATAAACACTTCCTGTAAAGAGAGCCCTATTTAGGCTTTCTTTATTGCAAGTTCTGTTTAATTAAGATTTTCTTATCCCCTGCTATGTTAATAGCTTGCTAGACCCTGAAAGAGCCTCCTGTATGTGATTAATATTTCAATTTAGAGATTGAGATACAATTATTTAAGGTAAATTACATCTGTTTGAAAGTGAAACCAGTTTTTTTTTTATGCAGGCTCTGTCAATCATAGCCAGGGGAGGTGTGGCTAGGGCTGCATAAACAGAAACAAAGTGATTTAACTCCTAAATGACAGTGAATTGAGCAGTGAAATTGCAGGGGAATGATCTATACACTAAAACTGCTTTATTTAGCGAAAGTAATTTAGGTGACTATAGTGTTCCTTTAATAACCCCTTCAGTCACTTACTTGGGTCCAGCGCCGATGTCCCTCGGTGCTGGCTCAGCTCCACCCTTGCTCCTCCCCTGCTGCCGGCTTGCTGTCAGGGGAGACCTAATGCGCATGTGTGGCAATGGCCTTGCGCGCGCATTAGACCTCCTCATAGGAAAGCATTATTCAATGCTTTCCTATGGGGATTCCGGCGACGCTCGACATCCTCATGCAGAGCATGGGGACGTCGAACGTAATTTAAAACACTTTTGGTGCTGTAAGAATCCGGAAGCACCATCTAGCGGCCTTCTGAGAGACAGAAACTAGAGGTGGGATTAGCCCTGTAATCAAAACACTGCAGTTTCTCCAAAACCTTTGGTGTTTTGACTAACAGGGCTTAAGGGAGAGGGGCAAGGCACCCAGACCACTCAAATGCGCAGAAGTGGTCTGGGTGCCTACAGTGTCCCTTTAACTATAACAATTTACACCAGCAATGGAGGGCTATGATAGGCTGAAAATTGTCAGCTAGCACTCCAAGCCAATCACTGCACCCACTGCTGCTCAAACTAATGCTTTCTCAGTAGCATTATCAGTACAAATAGGCTGCTGAGAACGCTTGTTTTTTATTAAAACATTAAAGATGGTTCACATGAAATGGAAGGACAGTTACAGTGCATAAAGTGTCCCTTTAACTTAGCCTAACACCAGATCTTATTCTAACCATAAAATGTAATACATACCTTAACTCTAAATGCCATTCTGTCCCTTAATCTCCAACTTTAATGTCCATTCCTAGATCTGACCCTATTGTTACCTCCAATTTCCTAACTCAGTCTAGACTGTAGTGCTGCACTAAACCTCGAGGTAACCCTTGCACACCACTGACCTTGAAAAGGGAATGTAAATGAATAAGTGCAGGCGCAGCAAACCTAGACCACTAAGGAAACTGCAGACTGTGACAGCTACTACTCTCAGCCAGCCTACACAGTTACAGGTCTAGGTGCACAAACATGACCGGGGCACAGACAGCAGACCTAGCAGCAGGTATGCTGTACACACAGTATAAAGAGGACAACAATAAGGTGTACAGAATTGGTACATTTCAGGAGCTGTGGATTGTAGTCTGGCTGTATATGAACGGTGTTGCAGTTCATACCTTTAAAGCTTATGCTTTGTTGTGGTTTTTTTTCTGACAACATAATCCATTTGTTCCACAATGCACTAGCTAGTTCATTAGTACCTAAAATGAAATATTGAACTTGAATATATTAGCCAATCAAGAAGGCTTTCACAAGATTTACTGAAACAGTAGGAACAGCTCCTTTTCACACTCATAAAGCAAAACGATGTCTTAATCCACTGTATTCTTTAACTATTTATATAACAGGGACAGTCACAAAGGAAAACGAATGTTATGATTCACGGTGTTATTTAACTCTTTATATAAGAGACACAGTCACAGAGCAACAGCAATGTCAAGATCCACTGCTACCTTTCAGTCTTTATGTGACAGGGATTCGTGCAACATGTGTAAGCCATTCCCCATGCTTTCAAGGAGTTAACAACTCCATGGGAATAAATGTGGAAATTGGAAAATCGGTGACAGGTAAATCACAGGAGGTCAGAACATACTAAGCACACTGCTGGGGGAGGAGTGGCTCAGCTAGGAGAGGGCTTTCAACTCCTTTCTATCTCCCCTGTTCTATATGGGCTGTCCTGAAGGACTGTTGCAACAAAAGCTTAAAAAAAATAAAGGAATGTAACTTAGGATATACTAACTGGATACAAGCAAACACTGAATCGCGCTTTATCTAAAGTGGTTGCTGTAAGGAAGTGGTTTTCAGGGACCTGTATTAAAAATGCTGTGCTTTAAAGATATGATGGAATAAGATCCTGACTTGGGAGTTAGCTGCTATTGCTATAATTTAAGACTTCCATCTGGAAGACTCTCAGAGGCAACAGATCCACAGAGAGAGTGAGAAGTCCAATCAGCAAAGTCTGGAGTAAGGAGTAAAAAGCTGACAGCGAGGAGAGAATAACAAGAAGAATGTCTGGACAGAATTTATTAAACAGTGTATTCTCCTGCTCATCACCAACAGCCCCCAAAGTGCTTTCTAAACACAAGCTCAGGCAGACTCGCAGCCTGGACCCAGCCATCATTCGCAACTATGGCAGCGATCTAGCAGAACATCCACTGGGGGAATATGAAGAGCACATCGCCGGCTGCAGCAGCCAGGGGAACAGGTGGCTAGAGGCTGATAGCTCGGGGGGCTCTATCCTGCCTCCAGGAGAATCCCCAGCCATGTCTAAATCCCTGCGGCTCAAGCCGAGACCCGTGCCTCTAGGCTCCTTCTCTACCCCATCAACGCCCCTAGAAAAATCCCCCTCCACCAGCTTCATCTTTGACTACGAGGTTAGGGGGATCAAGAGGAATACTGCCTGGGACCTGCCCTTCCTGGCTCGCAGCCCTCTGGCTCTCACCCCCAGCGGCAGCACCAACAGCATCTTCTCCCCCAGGAAGTGGCTGCAGCAGAAGAAGGTCCAGCCCCAAAGCAGCCAGTCCTATATTGTGTGGAAGTCAGAGGTAGGATGCTGAGTTCACTGGTGTCTTAATAATCTTGTGATTGGATAATATATCAATGCATACATGTATATTGCCTGCAAACTCATATAGAGCTATTAGAAGATGTATGGAGATATTTTTATTATTTTATTTTTTCTTGCATAACCCAGCATTACATGAATCACTAATAGTGGAATCCTGAATTTTCGCAGCCATGTGATACTATCAATAAAATGTTTCTTTTTGTCCACATGTACTGTGGAATAGGTGTTTTGACGTGTAGCATGCATGTTCATGTCAAAACACCTGCCATAGGGACCTTTCATCTGATTATGAAGTAGACTGATCTAATGATTAGTTGATTGAGAAGATCATACAATTAGTTATGTCTCCTGTTTGTGTGTTGTGTAATATAGCATAGCTCATCTCTGCAGGAGAAATTGAGGTTGAGAGGAATAAGTGAACATGTCTGTCATGTTACATTTGTTTTTATGCAAAAAATAAGAATTGTGTGGCTCGGGGCCAAACTTTAGATTTGTGGCTTTTCCATGCAGCTCATAACACAAGTTGGATAAATCTTTTATTGTCTATGTAGGTATATTACATTGTCTAAGAGTGTTATCGATCCCTGTATGATCAATTCTGCTATCTATTGAACTTTGCTTGCTTTGTTAACATAGTGTTGGTTAAGAATCAATGTCAATTTTCCTACTTTTGACATGTGAATAAGTTGAATTGTATATGAAAAAGTATGATAAACATTTATTGTCAAATTGTTATTCTTTGTTGTATAATGTGGTTTTTCTGCCATTATCTTCATGTTGAAGCATATTTTATATAATCAAATATATAATTCATGTCCATATTTTAATTGTACATGTTGCTTTTTAGGGAGTTCTGATATTTGACATTGAATGGCTTACATATGCCAGCAAATTTTTTTGGTCATACTATAGCAAAGAGAGGCATATATAAGTGTACATGTGTTTACATAGGAAAAGTAACATACTTAACTCATTATTAGTGTCTTCGTTCATGGATAAACTGACTACTGCCAGACATAGGTGCCAGTGCACCAAAATAGTAAATTGTTTTTATTTTCAGGAATTTGTATAAAAAATAGACACAAATGTATAATTTTTTAGTTTACTTTATTGTACAGTTTCCAGCTATCCAGCATATATATCAGTGTCTACACTTTTTGTAATACGAAGTCACAATAGTACAATTTGTTTAAGCTACAGGTGCACAAGCAAAATATGACCAAACAGATCATTTTATGTTAGAAACTGCCCTTTTATTAATTAATTTCTAGTGGTTTTAAATGTACTTTCTATTATCCAACGTGGGTAGTTGTCAAAAATGCAAGGTTCTCATGCCCAGTGTAAAACATATAATATCTGTGGCGGACCGCCTGGCTCCCCGACCAGGTGCCTCCCCCAGTCGATGCTCCTAGTGCACCCCGAGTACTTCCAGCATTCCACCAGACACCATCAGCCCTGTTGTCCCTACTTCCAGCGTTACAGCTTGGTTGGGGTCTCGCTGTCCTCCAACCACCCTGGACCTAAGACCACGATCCAGCTTCCAGTAGGTAGACCTCTCCTAGTCCAGAGAGCAAAGCAGGCTGCACTTACAAGAGCAAGTGATTATAGCCCAGGGGAGTATCGTGATATGGCAATCCCCAGGGTAGATACAGCCGTTTTCCCCACACCCCATGAGATAAGACTCTATGTTAAGGGTAAGCAGGAACTCATTTATTGGTATCCACAACTGGCCTTATATGCAAGTCCCCATGCAAGGGGCACTCCCCCCTGGACCTGAGCGTAAACCACTGCAGAAACAAACACACGATTACAATGGCTCTCAGATTCAGGATACTACCATACATTAGACAATCCCTGCCCTGTGCCTGGGAGATAATTGGGTCATGGACTGTACTAACTCAATTATCTCCAGGCAGAAAAATACACATTTTTATAAAACCCCCAAAATACCTTAAAACACACAAAGCCCCCACAAAAGTGACATCCCCTGACAGCCCTGATCTGGGTGACCAACATATCCAAAAATCACCCAGATCAGTTTAGGGGTTCAGGAATTTTCTGGAAGTCTTATTTTTGACCAACCACACGCATGGTCCCATGCTCAAAACAGTTCCAGAGAATCACGGCTTGCAGTTGGCCTAGTTCGGTAGTTTGGAAAACAAACAAACTACCAAACATAGTCAATGTTCTTACCCTGGAGCTTGTTCCCCTCATCCAGACGAATGATTTGACCGAACAGTGCCCTTCTAAATTGTATAGAACCGAACGAAGGTGATGATGGAAGTCCAGAGGTGTTCGGGAGTTTTTGTGTCCGATTTTAGTTCCATGAGATTCATGCCCAAACACCACTGCCTGTGTTCATGCGAACAAGATGGCCGCCCCCCTCGTGGTTGTCCATAGGAATTGCGGCCACCCAGACGAACAATTAGAACACTGCAGTTAGAACCGTTCCAAGGTGTTAATAGGTGTTAACAAGCTCCCGGGTGGTTCCTGGTTCATGCGTCTGTTCGGTTCCCGAACAGGATAGCAAAAAGGCACGTAGTCCTGAGACAGGAGGCTGGCAAACAGGCCCCTTCAAGAACCAATGGCAAGGTTACTTGCTCCACAACATCCTATTCCTAATTACCCCTCACTATAAGTAATTACTTCAACCTTTAGCCCCCGTTTAACCCTATCCATACTTATAGCTTCCCACAACTCCCTCTAACATAACCTTCTCACAACTTCTTTCTATCCTAAATTTTTCCCCAAATTATAAACAAGGCTTTTGTTATAGGTGTGGTGACACAATGCACTGCATGCTTAAGAATATTGCAACACTTAAAGGACATCTGTCATCACATTTTCACTTCTCCTTTTATAAAAGTTTGTTACATTTAATTACATTTCCTAATTTCTTTTTAAATGATATATATTGATTTTTTTTAATGAAAAAATTTAACTTTTTATCTAACTTAGCAGCTATTTTGGGTGAGACTCTTCTGTTATCTGGCCAACTAGTGCTCACCTTAACTTGCTTGTTGTTCTACATGAAACTGCACCAGCAGGCAAGTTAGGTTGAGCAGCAGTTGTTCGGATAACAGAGTCTGACCCAACATGGCTGTTCAGCCAGATTTAAAACAAAAATTCATAAAATAAAAAATATCATTATGTTTCATTAAATACAACTCACTTTTAAAAAATTAGAAGAGAAAATGTAATGACAGTAGTCCATTAATAATGAATAGCTCTACTGACAATTAAAACTCCCCATTATTATTGTGACATTTTAAATGTATATAATCAGAAACAACTTTAAGATAGGTATTTATATTGTTCCCCATAAGCTTAATATTTATTTTTCTCTTGACATTTGGCTTTGTTTGATTGTAGGCTTGTGTGAGCAGTGCCCTTCTATATAGTCTGGTTTCCTAATTTTTCTATTAATATGATATAAAATATCCTCCTTGAGCATCATTTGTGTATTAGATAATTGGACTACATAGGGAAAACAGTATGATCCACTGCACTTTTCATATACTGGGTTATTTATTAAAGTCCAGACTAAGGATTGTCCAGGTCACTTGGAGTGCAATATATGTACTTTGTTTACTTACAAGTCTATTTTTAAGACTTTTCAATGTTTGGATTTTGCAATGTAGACTTCAAATTACCAATAATATATACCATAGGGAGCTGTAATCTCCCTGCTCTTCCTGCACTGTTCCCTCGCGCGCCCTGAAATGACACCGGGAATCAGGATATGATGTCACTGTTGCCTATACGGCAGGAAGAGCATGAAGATTACATGAATCCCCAGGGAGAGGACCCACACTAGCTACACCAAAGATAGGGAGGCTGGGTGGGTTTAAATAAATAAATAAAAGAATGAAAAAATAACAATAATAAAATATATATAAATATATATATACACAGACAAATATATATATTTATTATTTGTGAGTATGTGAGAGAATGTGTGTTAGTGTGTCAATATGTGTGTGTGTCAGTGTGTGTATCTGAGAGTGTGTGTCTGTCTGTGAGTGTATGTCAGTATGTGTGTCTATAAGTGAGAATGTGGGTGTCTGTCATTAAAAGTATGTGTGTTGGATAACCAATGTGCGTGCCAATGAGTGCGTGTATAGATCAGTGGGAGTGTGTGTGCTGAAAAGGATGGAAATGTTTAATTGAAAAGATAATTTTACTCAATTCATGTGATTAGTTATAATATGAATACAGGGCTGGCCCTAGGCGCCCTGTGCAAAAGTTCTTCACAGCGAACCCATATCCTCATCCTCCCTGGTCATATACCTTAATCCATGTATATGTGTGTGTATAGGAGTGTAGTGTTTGTATAGGGGATTTATTAAATTAATAATGATTTAAAAACAAATATTTATTCACCCTACTCTTTTACCTTGTACCAGTGAAAGGGGAATGCTGATATCTCTGGTGGTCCAGTGTGCTGGGAATCTGTTCTGCTCCTTCACCGGGTGCAGACTATGAGTAACTGTCTCACAAGCTCAGACAAGCTTTCGTCTGGTAATCCATGGCAATGCACTGATTGGCCCAAGCGCAGAAGACAACTACTTATGGTCTGCCGCCAACAGAAGTGCAAGCCAGAGATGCCAAACTGCCTCCTCCGCATTAAAGACAGACAGTCACACACACACACACACACTCAGTAACAGGCAGACAGTTACACACACACACACAGACACTTACAGGTAGACAGTCACACACACAGTTAGAAGCAGCCGCACCACACTCAGTTACAGGCAGACAGGCAGACACACTCAGTTACAGGCAGTCAGACACACTCAGTAGATCCCCATCTGTCTTACAAGTGACAAGTCCCACAATAGTTTGCTAGCTGAGCATTTACAATTGGCCCATGCTTGCAGGGCTGTGTTTAGCATGAAGCAGTGTTTGTGTGTTTAAATGTAAGCATGCTTTTGTATGGAATATGTGTGTCTGAATGTTGTCTTTGGAATGCAGGTGTGCATTTGT